GAGGCTGTTCAAGCTCCGACGCCGGCACCGCGACCATCTCCCAGACCGTCACCACGCCCGGCCCGGCGCACCGATTTGCAAGCAAAGCCAGTGCCCGCTGAACGTCCCGCTGTGCTCAATGCGTGGGCCGATCCCGAGGCTACCACATCGCCCATACGGCAGAGTGAACCTCCCACGCCACCACCAAAGCCCCACGCTTTCCCCACCGTCTCAGATTCCGTACCCGCTGCCGGTCCCGTCGACACTACGCAGCCCGAGCCCAGCCAGAACCCCGACCTGGCTCAGCCCAGCGAGAATCAACCCGCGACCATGGCCACGAACAACAACATTGGACGCTCCCCCTTTCGGAACATGCTCCGCAAAGGCAACAACAAGTCAGTCATCCTGTTTTTTATTTCATTTTTTATTTTCTTCCATGCCTTTTGCATGCGCATCGACACGCGGCCTGGCGCGCTCGTTTTTTTTTTTTTTTTTTTTTTTTTTTTTCTCTCCCTTGCATCTCACAACACATTTCCTCTTTCTTCTTGCCCTGGTCTTCCTTTCCTCCCCATTCCCCTGGCCTCCTCTCTTTTGCCTCTTGCTTTTTGCTGACGGCGTTTGCTTCTGCTCAGGCGTCTACCCTCAGTTCCGGAAACCGAGTTCAAGCATCGCATTGGTGAACTCAAGCAAAAACCTGTCGTCCTCGTCGAAGGCCTCCCCGAAGACTGCAAGTAGTATTCGCGAGCATTCCTCCCTCGCCCCAATCCACCGGGAGCAAAAAGCAGAAGCGATACAATCTGTCACCCTGTCCCGTCTTGATCTTACCTGTCTCCTTCACACATTTTCCACTGCTGTAGTGCTTCTTCAATCGGGCCGGCTTAAAGAGGTATGCCTTCCCATCATTGCCCGGTGTGATCAGCAGGCTGGCTCATCGCATTATGATTTGCTGTCGCCTTGATCATGCAGTCCAATCCCACCATTGCCAAGCGCTATGAACGTATCCGAGCTCTGCGCGTACGTCCCCTCTCACCAAACCTTATTTGCACATGGGGGCAAGGGGAGGGGAAAAGGCATGCTTCAACCCAGGTTCCATCGTGGCCCTTGCCACTCACATCATCCTCACCTTTGATGATTCTCACCTTCTGAGCATTCTCATCTTCTGTCCCCCCAAACTTGGTTGAAAACCTACTCCAGGCTCTGCTGGCGGAAAAGCAGCAGCGCCGTGAGACATTGGTCGAGCAGGAAGAATCCCTGCTCAACAAACTCGCCGCCAACGAAATCTCCATGGATGACAGTCGTCGTTTTACCCTCTCCCCGGGCTACATCCCTCGTTCCGACTCGATCGCCAGTGTTTCTTCGACCGGCACCTCCTATGGTCCGCCACTCGCCGCGTACTGAAGTACCGCTGTCGTGGACAAAGGGCACAGGCACTCCATCGCATTTCACTAATCCTGCTCTTGCCTCCCCGCTCTCTGCAGGCTGGGGCCGTAGCTTTTCAGATGCCAGCATGCTAGGCCCGCCCAGGTTCAACCTTGCTGTCGCACACTCACACTTGCGTCAACTCTTTGGGTCAACCCTTGACTTGTTCTGCAACAGGGGTACTAATGTTTTCTTGCCTTGCTCGCCCGCTTATTTCTGTAGTATGGCTGGCGAGACCCCGCGTGTTGTACGACAAGGCAGTGCGCTCTCCACCGTTCAGACTTCATATCAGGCCGTCGGAGATCGTCGGTGAGTCGGCTGGGAGGCCATTCTTCCCTTTCTCACAGTGTATTTCATTCCAGAGAAAGACGCACACACCTTTTTATGAAGGTCATTTGTTGGCACCCCTTGTATTGTTCTACCTCATGGCTGCGACAACGCAATGCTCGCAGGACCCTTCGTCTGGTTCGCTCCGAACCGGGCATCCCTTTGGGATTTTCGGTCAAGTGTCTCGTCTTGCCTGTGCGCGATCCAGATACCGGGGTGGCGTCGTTTGAAACCCACCGTGTCACTTTTGTGGAGTCTGTCGAACCCAACTCAATCGCCGAGCAAGCCGGCCTTGAAACTGGTACAGAGCCTAGCCTACCCACGGTTGCTCAAAACCATGCCTGCCCAAGCCAGCACTCAATCGGCGCCGCTGCCATTCATGTGCCTTTGATACGCCACATGTCCGTCCCTCTGTTTAGGCCTCTGTGTATCGGATATGGATGGTCATGTGCTTGATAACACGACCGAACAGGACTTTGAAACCTTGCTGCAGGGCAATGATGGCACCGTGACACTCACGGTCGTCCGTACCATGGACTACCGCCGTGCCATGTGCTTTCGCCGAAAGGTGGAGCTTGAAGCCCGGCTCTACCAACTCCTCAAACGGCGCGATCAGCTGGACGTTGAGGAGCAGCAAGTCCAGCATCACCTTGATAAGCAAAACGGCGTTATTCCGGAACCTGATGCTGATGGTCAGTCGGCCCGCGCGTCGACAGTTTGCCGGAGAGAAACCAGCGGGGGCAACTTGCCAAGCAAGCCAACGCCTGGTCTTTTTACCTTACAATGGACAAGCAATGATCCTGTCCACAACTCACACACTCACTTTTCCCCAAACGATCGTGTTTTAGACTCGGATTCCGACTCAGAGTCTGCTGTAGAGACCTTTGGGCCCGCTCCCACCCCCGACGACAACGCGGATGCCGGTGCGTACCCCGCATCTGGATCAGTTTTGTATCGGCTGGCCCGGTACTTTCAAGACTATTATGTTCCTCATGCCATCGCTTTTGGAAATCCTGCACAGCAACACTGCGGATGCTGGCGGCGCGCCTCAATGTGTTTATGCCCAATTTGTTCACCGATGACATTGCCGAGTGCTGCGACACCTTGGAAGAAGCCAAGGCTGTCATTCGCGTTATGCAGACGCGCGTTGAGCTTGAATGGTACGAGCCTCGGAGAATGGGACAGGCGGCCAGCTGGGTCTCGCAGCATTTCGGTGCCAAAAAAGCAGAAAACAAAAGTGGAGGAATACAAAGAACAAACAAAAGGCACCAATACAGGTTGCAACCCTACAAATTCTCTTTTCTCACATGATGATTGCGTGCCTCTCACCAGGCGAGCCAAAGACGCCATGATTGCTCGGCAAAAACAACAGCTTCAACTGTTACGAGATCGCGTCGCGCACCAAGCCCACCAGAGTCAAAGCTCAAGCAATCATGTCGAGGATCACGATACCGCGCACCCCGTGCCCGCTCCACGCATCATGTTCGTTCCCAAGACCTGCCCAGCGCCGCCGCCCACTGAAATGCATGATGTGCTCCCTCACCAATTCGTTTTGTACGGGTTGCCTAGACATTTTGGCTCCTCGGACATTACTGAGGAGTTTGGGGAGGTCCCGCTGCCCCAGGAAACGCTGAACGACTCTTATGTTTAGAGTTACAATTTTGAACCTCTTGAATATATTAAGTGCAGTGCATGATTTCGAAAGCTGAAACGTGAGAGTGTTCAAGGATCAGTCATTCCCCAAAGCAATTGAAACAACTTTGGAGTTCCAGTTCCCATTGAGAGAGCAGCATGTCATGCGGGAGTCTGGGCCCAAAAGACACGAAACTATGGTTACATACTGTCTTGACTTTGCGCTCAGATCGGACGTGGACAGCCGTCAGCCAAATCTCAGGTGTGGGAATTGAAACATGGATTCTCGCCTGGCGTTCTTGCGACTCGTGCTGCGAGCTGTTTGCCAACGATGATTGGGGTGGGCCTCCTCCAACGGGGCTCCTCATGCGTGAGGTGGCTGAAAGCGATTTTGAACTTGCAGCACAAATGCACCTGCCTCGAGTGTGATACTCCCATCTGACGCGCCAGAAAATCCTATTCAGCTGCACCAACCTTTTGTGTCTTTTGTTTTATGATGCTTTGATTTTGCTGCCAACTATGGGTGGATGGTACCTCAAAGCTTGCATGATGGGTCAGAGCGGAGGTACAATGTTACTGTAATAACATCGAATATCATGTCAATTGATTCATCGCATGTTACTATGGGGTGAGCAGCACTCGGCTGGCTGGTTGGGGTGGTATCTGGACAGTTTGGAGTGATGGCATGATGCCATGATATACCGGCAAACGGGCCTGCTCACTGGATGTGGCGAGTACCCATAACTTCCTCGAGCGTTACGACCGTCAGGCCCTTGGCTTCATTTGACACTTTGCTTACTCGCAGCTCAGTACCTGGCGCCAAGATCAACCTGCGATGAAGTTCGGAGCGTCATCAGGGACATCTTGAAGAGTCGCTCATTCGAGTCATCTTCTACCCTTTCAGCCAGAACAGAGACCAAAGGCACGTACTCGGCTTCGCCTTTAAACGCGCTGTAGTCCATGATGCTCACAGCACTAGGCGCCTTGACCTGGAACAGCATACGCTTGCCAGAGCTACGTGCATGCATTGAGAGGAGAGGAGGCCCATAAGACTTCTGCACCGACCATCTCACACGGAGAGAGACGGACAGACGGAGAGAGACAGACAGACGGAGAGAGACAGACGGACGGAGAGAGACAGACGGAGAGAGACAGGGAGAGAGACAGGGAGAGAGACAGGGAGAGAGGCAGGAAGAGAGACAGGAAGAGAGAGACAGGGAGAGAGGCAGGAAGAGAGACAGGAAGAGAGAGACAGGGAGAGAGGCAATTGACAAAGATGGAGTCGTGTGGCTGACCTGCCCGAGCTCATAAAGTTGCGAGCCACGCTCTCCTTGACGGTACACGAAGAAACACCCCACCAGACCACGGTCCGATCCTGCATGTCCATGTGCGTGCACGTCCGTTGAATAGGTTGGCGTGACAGGCGGGTGGAGACATGCGATTAGCTTCTGGGTGCACAGAGCTGTTTTAAATGCCAGAACAACGTACTTTGCCGTAAAGCTTGCGCAAGTCGAGGCCCACGCCTCTCCAGAGCGGCTCAAGGTTGGCGCCACGGTGCTTGTGAAGCTTGCCAACGGCCTCAAAGAAGAGGCGCAGGTAAAAGTAGTAGGGTACAAGAAGCGCTCGATTGCCGTTGCGCAGCACCTCATTCAGGCGGCGGTAAAAGGCCGAGGCCTGCGTGTACAGGTTAATGACGGCAATCTCATCGACGCTGAGAATGGCGTCGTTCTGTTCCTTAGCATACTGCAAAGAAGAGTCAATGGCATACTGTGCAGACGGCAGCGCTTGAATGATGGCTGCCATCACCGTCGCAAACGGAGGCACTGGCATGTCCATGATTCCAGTGACGGGCGCCAGCTGCTCGTCCTTTTGTGCAACATCCTGCAGACGCTCGAGATACATTTTGTGCAGATCTGTTGCGGGTAAATTGTGGGGCATGTTGCCACGGTGAGGACTTGAGATGATACGAACCTGCCGTTAACGTGAAAGCAGAAACAAAGATACGAACCGACTGTGGTGGAGACAAAGTCGCCCATGCGGTCCATGTGCACGGCGTCCAAGCCTAGTGCTGCCTTCCAACCCTGTCCGATCCAAATCGTCATGAGCAAAGACGGGGCAGATCTGATCCTACCGCGAGTTTCGGTTTGGTTGATCCTGGCGGCGGAGTTACCTCGGTCGGAAGCCAATCAAACGGCTTGTATTGCAGCGACTCGAGCGCGTCATTAATGTCCGCAAAGTGTGTTCCCTGACAAAAGGCATCCCCCATGGCTGCGGGATTGCAGTGGTCGAGCTGGACCACCTGTCGAGAAGGCAGGAGAAGAACACTGAGGTTAAGATGGCCAGGGTGAAAGCCGAGAATGCCTTGATGGCAGTGCAGGCGCAGAGAGACGGTTGAGAGCGGCAAACCTGGCAATCTGGATACTTGAGCGCAAGTTGGTCGACAATCTTCCGGAGGGCCTTGGCGTGCGAACCCCACCAAGCGAAAATGACGCCTTCCTTCTTTTCCGCCTTTTCCGCCATGATGCTCTAGGTGGCGGCGCAAGATGCGGCGGCTTAAGAAACGGGTGCAAGACGGCAACCGATAACTGCACGTGCGTGTTTGGCTGGCACCGGGCACCGGGCAGCAGTAGGGGCCGGCCGTACCTCAACGATACGAGCCACAATGGGCTTCCAAAAGGTTGAGTGCTTGGATGTCGCCATGGCCTTATCTGTGCTTGAGGTAAGGCCCGCGTTGAGGAGAAGGCAACCCTGGGCTAGCATGGCTTGAAACCATTGGTGTGGTGAGACGACCTTTTGTTTCTTGAAGAGGGTGCGCAGCTCGGCCACAGTTGTGGCCTTGGGAACGTCAAACTTCCACATGGATGCGGATTTCATAATGCAACGCATGCTGGTCACCGAGCCAAAGCGCTTGTCTTCCCACTGCGTAAAAGTGTTGTCTAGCATGGCCACGCTGTGCAACGGGCGAAAACAGGGCAGGGATCAACGCCACATCAGATGCCGAGCCCAAGGCAGTGTTTCTGGCGTGCGCTTTGTTTGGGTGTGTGTGCAGGTCCAAGCAAGCAAAGGGTTCATTTTCTTTTTTGCACACACGCCAAACGTGGACGTGTTGCCATCCTGCAGTAAGATCGCCGTACGCAGAACGGACCCAGTGGCGCTCTCCACGCGGGGGTACGGTGTTTGACCGAAGATGATGACCTTCCAATTTCCCGGTGCATTTGCCTTGAGCGCCTGGAAGGTGAGCTCGCGGACCGGAACGATGCTGCTTGCCCGCCCCTTGCCCAGAAAGTCCTGCACGCTGGGTTGAGAGCGGATCGTGCTCTCGAGCAACGGCAGCCACGCCTCGCCCCCATCGTTGAACAAGGCGGGTAGATCTAGGTCATCTGCTGCCACCGCAGTACATGACGATCGTGTTTTCCGCGAGGGTGCGTCCCCATGAGAGCGTAAGGCAAAAGCGAATCTAGGCCACAAAACAAGCGCGCCAAGTCGAGAAAGCCAGGCACATCTTACCGGCCGCGGCCGACACCTTGGCCTTTTTGGGCGCCTGTTCGCCCTGCTTCGTCTTGCTCGCCATGATCCCCCGATCCCACTGTGTCGGATCCACTTGCTGCTGGAGAAAATGCCCCGCCCCCGTGAAATTATTGATTTCTTGTTGAGACAGGAATGCGGAACATCGTCGACAAGTTGAAACAAGTTTGGGGCCAAGTTTAGAAAAAGAGTTTTTTGCTATTGCCAGACACAGACAGACAGACAGACAGACAGAGACAGACATAGACACACAGACACACAGACACATGGTCCATGCCTGGACGAACAACCAACCACGGCATCAACACACTACACGGCTTCCACGAGCTTGCTGCCACGACGAGAAGTGCGGCGAGCAAAAAACCGCATCGGGAGGTCATCCGAGGCGTGTAGCACAGGTGGTTTGTAGACAACGCGCATCGTGGCGCGATCTCCAAGGTACTCCATGTCCAATCGTCGAAGTAAGTGTGACACCACCACCTGCAGTTCTGCAATGGCAAAGTATTTGCCCAGACAATATCGACGACCCTTGCCAAAGGGAAAGTACTGAAACGGGTTTTGCTCCACCTCACCGCCCGGCGCAAACCGAGCCGGACGAAACACCTACACAGGACAGCACAGGCACTTTGAGTCGGGAGCCCAGTGGACAAATAGACGGGGGCCATGTTCGCCAGGCATCAGACAACCACCCACCTCCGGCTCAGCCCAGTACTCGGGGTTGCGATGAACGGCTGACATCATGGAGAGCACCGGCGTGCCAGGCGACACAACCAAATCACCAATCTAACCATCAGCCGCCAAAGACCGAATGAGATCGGGCCAGCTCATGTGCCGCAGATCTCAAGCTCCCATGCCTTGCCTCCCCTCTCTGAGCCCGTGTTCCAAGCACCAGCTTCACGGAGCCCTCCATCTGGCGTTTCATCTTTCCATTTGCCTGCGCAAAAGATGGCCAATAACAGTTCCCTAGCGCTTCCACGTGCCTGGGTCGTGTGCAGAGGACGGCGCGATGGAAAGCCACCCAAGGGTTCGTGGAGCCGCAGGGCCTCGTGGATGGCGTTTGTGAGCTGTGGGACGAGCTTGCTCAAGTCTCCAGGCTGCTCCAGTGCCTCCAAGTCGAGCGCCGCATTCTCGGCCCGAAGCTTGGCCAGCTCCTGCCGAAAATATCACACAACGGTCCGGGTTATGGGGTTCAAAAGTGATGTGAGGTCCTCTTGTTCACGCGGAATAAATGATGTTTTTTTTTTTTCTTGGGGGAAGCGGGTTCAATCTGACCTTTGGGTTCACAGCCAACTCGTAGAGGAGCCAGCCCAGAGTCGTGGCCGTGGTTTCCGTGCCCGCAGCCAAAAGTAGCAAAAGGTTATCCCGCATGGCTGCATCGTCCAGCCTTGATCGATCATCCTCCTCACCATTTGCCTCTAGGATAAGATCGATCAACTTGATTTGACCATCATCCTGCTCACCACTTCGTCGACGCGCCACCGCCTGGTCTACCAGGCCATAGAGTCGCTCAAAGCCTGTTTCCAATCGCTGCGTATCTGTCAGGACGTGGCGCAGCACTGGAATCTGGGTTCGCATACCCCCAGCCACCACACAACGGAAAAGGGCAAATGAAGGCAGGCCAAAAGGGGCTTGGGTTAGTTCACCTCAAGGTCAGACAAGCAGGCAGGCAGGCAGGCAGGCAGGCACGCAGGCTTCTGGCGTGTGCTGTCAGCCCCATTGCACCGATGGGCCACAACTGACCTGGTGGGCGAAATTGGTGAATTCATTTGTCATGTAGATAAACTCCTGGGCCATGAGATCTTGCTCGTCAGGTCTGCCACACCAGTGTACACAAACCTGAGCTCAAGGGGCGTGCACACACACGAAGAGAGCCAGAAAGGCCAGCATCACGAACATACCGCAACGTATTGCCAAAAGCTGTCTCGATGATGACGCTCAGGGTCATCTTTCCCAGCCAGTGACCCAGTTTGACCGAACCCTCTGTGCCACGTCACGATGCAGAAACTTAGCAAGGTCCTTGGCGCGCCCGGCAGCAAAGCACGCAAAACGCAAGCCGCAAAGGTCGGGCCGCTTGCGCCTGCAGACGCACCAGCTTGACTGAGCTCCAATAGTGAATGGGCCAGGCGTTCGCCACGATTGGCAAAGGTCGACCGAAAGCCCACCAGTTTATCGGGACTGAAAGCCTTGTACAAGATGCGATGTTGACGGCGCCATTCCTCGCCGTTTGCATTGATAATGCTCTATACATGTGAGCGTGAGAATAGCGGGCGTTTCCAGGCCGCCACCCAGCCGCCACCCACAGCATTCCGATCTTGCTACAAAACCCACCTGACCAATGAACCGGTTGAAGAGGGCAAAGCTCGAGTTATCCCGTGTGTAGTTGAGGTCATTATCCGTGAGCAGCTGCTTAATGTCCTCAGGGCGCGTGAGGACCACGTTGGGCTCATACGCAAACCACAGAACAAAAGCCCCAAATCTACCGACGAGAAGAGGGGCGGAGGGTCCATGGGCATACGGGGTGAAAGATGTATAAACTCCCAGTGCGAATGGCTTGAACTGCAAGCAGCAAGTCGCAAGAGGTGCAATCGTACCCCTTGTTCAGGTCCATGAGGTGCTGCATCGTTCCGTGATATCTCTGGCAAACGTGGATGAAGGGTGGCGGCAGCGACATATAAAGGTGAGCGAAAAACGCATGACGAATGTCCGGCTTGCAGGCTCAGGATCTAACCTGCATCAACGCGGTAAACGAGCCAGCCAGAGGGCTCCAGGGCTGAACCTTGAGGTACGTTCGAAGCCTAAACGCGCCGCGCAAGTCGTGACAACAAGCAGTGGCACGCGCCTCTGATGGTCGCCGAAAGATTGACGTAAACGCCCTGTTGTTGCCAGCAAAAGCACACCTACCGGGCATTGTAAACTTGTCTAACACGATGCCATTGACGAAGATCAGGCAGGAACGGGTAGAGCAGGAGCAGGGGCACCAGGACCACCCCTGCCACCACCACCAACGCCACAGCCATCCACATGTCCGATCCTCTGGTGAAAAAGCCCAAAAGCAAGTCCGACACAAAAGCAAAGCAGTTCCCTTAAGAAAGCATCGCACGCACCAACGAGTAAAGGCAAAGAGACTGGTTTTGTCAGATACTTTTTTACTTTTTTCTTTTTTTTTATTGTTTTGGCGGGAAATGGGGAGGATGAATTGTCGACAACAGGGGTGTGTAGCATTTGCGTTTGGGTGACAAGGCGAGAAGGGTGTGGAAAAGGTTTGCCGGCTGATTGCTTGGAGGGGCGTTCAGGAGCGGTGGCGGTCATGGCGGGTTTGATCCCAGAGGAGATGAAGGGCGATGGATTGGGATCGACGTCTGCGGCCGCTGCACAGGGGGCGGGCTCCACGCTGGCTGGGTCGTCGTCGCGGAAAGGGGGGGACGATTTTAGGGACGATCCTCAGGAACTGGTGCAGAGCGTTGTTGACGGCTGGAATAAGCTACGCGGCCTTCTCAGCCAGGTGTGGCAATACTAACAGCAAAATCCAAATGCAAGGGGCTTGAGCCTGGAGCTTATTTACCACCCGGCTGAGCCATGCTTCCTCTCCCTCCTGTGTGTGTGCGTGCAGGCAGATTCCAGACTCGCCATTCAAGATCAGGCGTGGCAAGCGCTGCATGGCCGACACCAGGCCCTACTCGAGCAGTATACGCAGCAAAGCCATGCACTCGAAGTGAGAAGCTGGTCAATCATCGTTCACTTTCTTGCGAGCTCACCAGTCGTGATGGACTAGGCGCTACGCGACGAACAAAAGGCCGAGCGCGCTTGCGCCCACGATGAACTGGAGCAGTTAAACACACAGCTGACCGAGGCAGCCGCTGCACACAGCTGTGAATTGGTCAGTCATCAATTTTTTCACTCTTCTTCACGCTCTTTGGCCTTTCTCCTTCGCTCTGTGTCTTCGTCTTGCCTCTGCCTCCTTTTCTATTTTCGCTCGACATGAACTGCCCATGACAATGCAGGAGGATCAACGCGAAACGCTCAAATCAACAGCTCAAGCTCTCGCCATTCAGGAAGGCGAAAATGTACGTTGCTACGATCAGCAGGGACATCTGGGCGAAGCTAAGGTGTGCCGGGCCCCACAAGTGATTCCGGCATCTCATCGCTTCTTGGCCCTGCCATGCTCGGTAGAGTGCCCTCTTGGAGGAGCTTGAAGATCAAAAAGCCCTGATTGCCGAGCATGAGGACCGTCAACAGCAAGTTACCCAGAGGCAAGAACAGCTTGAAGCAGCCCTTCGTCTTGCTACCGAGGAGCGCCACGCGCTCGCCCACGAAGTGCAGGCCGCCCATAAACTCGGTGCCAAGGTCCACTTTGCACTGGATAGAGATTCTACTTGCCCCTCCAAACATGCCTTGGCGTCAGCCCAAGACTTTATTATTGCTGTCTGTTGCGCTTCCTCCTCTCGTCCTGGCAGGCGCAGGAACAAGGCAGCCAGACACGGGCGGCGGTGCATGCGGTTGCTGCACAAGCCGAGGCAATCTTGCAAAGCCTGAGTCATGCCTCGTCTGGTCCAGACACTTCAACCGCCCTTGACATGCCCGAGCATCCACAAGTTCGTTTCCCCTCAAAACATGCACACTTGAATCGCAGCTTCAGTTGGGTCGCCGTCCGCTGGCAGCAAGCTCAACCTGAGCCGCCGCGTGTCGTTTTCCGTCGGACTCTTCTCGCACAGAGCGTAGCTAGTCAAGAATGGCATCGGGCCGAGGCCCAGAGCACTCGCCTGTTGGAACAGCTAAACAGTGAGCGGCAGCAAAAGGCCGACTTGGAACAGACTCTTGCCGAAGTTGGACAGCGCCTGGCTGAGCTACGCGAGACGGCGGCTGATGCCCTCAAGCTGGAGGCTGAGCGAACCCGTTGGCAAGTGGCCCATGGCGAGCTTGAGCATGAGCTCGCACAGACCGAGTCAAAACTACACAAGCAACGCGAGCAAGCGTTGAGCGAGCGCGCTCAACTCGAGTAAGCGTGTGTGCGCGCGCGCGCGCGCGCGTGTGTGTGTGTGTGTGTGTGCGCGCGCGCGAGCCTTGACGTGCTTCCAGCCCGACCTAAAAGGCAACGCTTTGCCCACTATTCCATCACTGGCTGGCCACAGGTCTGCAACACGTCTGGTAGAACAGCAGCTGACAACACAAGGCGATGCGCTGACTGCTTGTCAAAGCCGGCTCGCGGCACGAGACGAGGAGCTTCAAGAAGCCACTCGGAAACTTGAGGGTGCGTGTCGTGTCCCCACAACCGACCATGCGTTGAAAAGTAACTGGCGGGATGCTTTAAGATCTTTACTGTGGTACCGAATACTTAGAGCTGGAGGTGGAGCTCAAAAGCCGACGCCAGCGCGAGGATGTGCTAGAGGAGCAGGTCCAGAGCACGTCCCATTGCCTACAAATGCAAGTGCAAGAGCGCACACAGCAAGAGTATGTGCCGATGGCAAGCTGACCCCGTCGTTTGCACGCGGGTGTTTCAGACAAAGTTTATCATTGTTGTTTGATGGTTGTTGTTGAGTAGGCATGCGGCAACAGATGCTGCACACGCACTCGAGACACTGGGCCAGGATCGAGATCGTTGGCACCGCAAGGTGTGACACTTCTGTGATTGCACTTCAAGCGTCCGTTGCGGCTTGATCTTCGTTGCTTCTGCTGATCAAAAACTGATGCGGCTGGTGTGGTGACGGGGTGACGGGGCGATGGCGCAATGTCGCAGTATCTGAAGCAAACGGAGGAGCTCAAGATGGCACGGCAACAGGCAGCAGTGCTGCACCGCGAGTTGGCAGCTGCCCGGCGTGATCTTCACCAGTGCAAGGTGGGGCACCGACGACCGTGCCTTTCGAAGACACACATGTAGCTCATCGTGGGGTCCCGGACGCATAGGAGCAAGCACTTCAAAATCTGCAGCGGTGTCAGAAAGCCGAGGCGCAGATACGACAGGAACAGGTTGCAGCCCGCAGTGCTCTGACCGAGACCAATAGACTGCGCCGCCAGCTTGCCCGGCATACGGTAGGATGTGTCGACCCCTGAGCCCTGACGTCCTTTGCGAGATGCGTGGTTGGGTGCGTCACTCATCGCGGTGATACGTGGCAGCGACGGCCATTACAGGGACGCCTGGGGTTGCTCAACCCAACAGCGGGAGGTGGTGAGAAGAGGGGTGACCAGAACGCGGGCGCCTCAACAAGTGACCCCGCGTGTGTCGTGTCCACCAAAGAGTATGACTACTGCAGTCCCCCACCAACACCACCGCGCCCAGCACCCAGCTCGCACCCGCAAGGAGAGGTCCAGGCAGCAACAGAAGAAGTGACACCGGCAAAGGCTGTCGTCCCAAAGACGGCAGAGGCAAAGTCGGTGGGGGTGCTGGCAAGCAGTGGCAAGACTAAGCACATGGCACGAGTCTCATTTGATGAAGGGCAGCTGGAATCTGAGTCGGACGGTGACTCTGGTGACACGGTGCCCAAGCGCGCGGCGCTGACGGAGGTGCTGGCGCCCAAAGAAGTTACTTGCATTGATCCCCGTGACGTGAGTGTTTCGCGTAATTGTACTCGGAGGAGAAAGCACAAGTGTTTGGGTAAAGTGTTGCGTTTCACGTCTTGAGTTTAAGTGTCTGGGCTGCGTTGGTCTGTGTGCTTGGCAGCGGCCGGCCGGGGCACCGCGGCCCGAAGAGTACTTTCCGACGCCCGAGGGTCAAGACTTTTCCTTCAAGGTGTGCCACCCTCTGCTTGATTGTATAGCCCAAGGCCGCTTTGATTTCGCCATGTTCTGGGGGAGAAGTCTTTCAGGGCCTCACAGACGCGCACGTGCTATTGTCCACATTACTGGGCTGGCTTTTGACTGGGTAGGCATTCTTCGACGCCAGTGTAGCAGCCGATCAGGAGTGGCGTGATCGTCAAGAAACAGGCCACGTCTTGCCGGAGGAAGAGGTGCTGGAAACGGGGCCACCCCCGGCCGGGCTGTCCCAAGATGCAAGTTGATTGTGCGCTGCTCGACGCCAAAGCCATTTGTCAGCATGCGTGTCAAGGTAGAGAGGTCTGGAGTTGAAGTGTAGTCCAGTGATCCTCCAGTCAAACAAAGTGATGACATTCTTACACAAGAGCTAGACCCTTCTTTGTCAACCCCATGTGGAGCCACCGATGCAATGCAAAACGTGATCGTCATCACAAGGATTGGCTGCCTGATTGCCTGGTTGCGGCGCATGCTCCAACCAAGCCGGTCATGCTCAGTGAAGGGGGATGGGTTCGGGGGAGGTGCCCGCGCATGCCTTGATGGCGATGGGAAAGGGCCAAAGAGTCAGTTGCGTGGAAGGGAACGTGCTCACGCATGCGCTCGAAAAGGTCCGCTGGAAGGAGGACAGCCTTGGGCGGTTGCCGCCAAAGAACTTGGGATGGGTTCAGTGGAGTCGCTGGCCCGATTCTGGCAGCAGCCCGGAACGGGACACAGACCAATGAAGGGAGGCCCCATAGCCGATCAACCCGGCCCCTCACACTCCGACCCTCAAGCCTTACTCGATCGAATTTTCTTCTTCCACTTGCTTCTTCTTCCACTGACTGGCTGATGATCACATACACACACGTTGAAAGCACTCCAAACGAACAAAAGAATGAGAGACTTTTCTCTTGTGTGACAAAAGAGACAGAGATGAGATGAATTGGTGAGAAAGGAGAAAGAGAAAGGCATAAGCAGAGGAAGAGAAGAAAAGGAGGTGTCACGCGCATGTGTCGTCCCTCCAAGAAATTCGCTGTTGTTTCTTGCTTTCGGTTCTACTCTCTCTCTCTCTCTCTCTCTCTTAAAGTGTGTGTAGTGACTGACACGCGTGTTGTTTCGTATTTTACAGCGTTTCCCATTGATCTCGTGTTGTGTGTGTGTGGGCGCTTGTTGGGGTGTATGCGCTGCTGAGACAGACAACGCTTGCTGCTGCTGCTGGTGGTGGTGGTGGTGGTGCTGCTGCTGCTGCGGATCGTCGTAGCTAAACGGCTTTGCTGCTTGCGGCCTTCTTCTTGGCCGTTGCTTGCCTGCTTCTCGTCGTGTTTGGTGGAACTGGCATTCGGTGAGTTGCGGCGATGCCATTTGGGGTGATGAACAGCATCATGGAGCAGCCAGAGGCCTCCTTGTCGCACCGTGCGCGCTCGCGCGACACTGGTTTGCATCTTTCCGCCCTTTCTAGTTCGTGGGTGGACCTTCATCGTGCCTCGCTCACGTTTTCTTTTGGCTGCCCCCTCTCTTCTGCATCTTTCTGTCGCATCTCTCTGCTTGCTTGACGGGGCTTCAGGTTGGTCATCATCCATGTGCTCTGTCCCTCCTCGCTGACTTTTCATTCTCACTCTTGCCACCCATCCGTGATCATGTTTATGTTAGTGTCCAGCGCCATGCTCGAGTACATTCTTTACGCCGTTGGCGGCTTTGTCGCCCTCTGCATCGGCCTCGTGATGTACTCGCTCGTGCCCAACCCCATGGGCTACTTTCGCATGCGCCGCGTCTTCAACACCAAGTGCGTATAATGGATTGGCAGACAACCGCCTGTGTCGTGACCGCTGTTGACCTGTTTTTCTCGACCAGGCGTACACTCAGCCGTGTGGTTCCCACCCTGTCGCTTTTAGGCTCCAAGAATATCTTAAGGTGCCCTTGTGGCGTCCCATGGATGGTAGCTTTCACGAAATGCAAACGGTGCGGTCCTTTTTTTTTTTTTTTTTTTCCCTTGCGCGCGCCGCCGAATATATCTGCTGCCCATTTTGTTTGCAACCATTCTTGATGCCGAACAACACTTGCGCTCGTAGGATTTGATTGGCTTTTTCAAGCGCCAGCTTGACTATGGCAACTTGTACGTTTCCCAGCCTCTTCATGGGCGCTTCTGTGGCATCCCCGTCCTCATCAGTGATTTGCTCTTCTCAGGTTTGGCGTGATCCCTTTGTGGTACGTCTTTGATCCCAACCTCATCTTGACCAAGCCCGAGGACATGAAGCAAGTGCTATTTGGCGATGATCTTCAGTATTACCGTGACAACACCTGCTTTTACGTCATGCACATGGTGCTGGGCAAGGTTAGAGTCAGACCCTTGTTTGTCCATCATCAAGGCATGGCAACCCTCCTCCACATGTCACACCCCTTCCCTCCAAACCCATTTTACATGCCCCATCTGTAACCCAAAATAGGGCATCATCAACGTCGGTGGCATGGAATGGCGCAACCAGCACCGCATCCTCTACAAGGCCTTTGCTCCCGACAACCTGATGTACTTCCGCCCAGCCTTTGCCGCTCGTGCTCGCAAGATGGTCGATACCTTCAAGGCACACGCTCAATCTGGCGAGCCCATCGATTTGCTCAAGACCATGAACGAGATTACTCTCGGCGTGATGATTGATACCGCTTTTGGCAACACTCTCTCGTACGTGACCATCTCTCGTTCTCTCCTTCCCCGTTGACGTACTGCCGCTCAATTCGGTATACACCACGTCCTTGCCTTGTGCGCTCGATCGATGTGCTGATGAATGGTGCATTTTCCTTTTACCCGCTAGTCACGAGGAGCAGAGTGAAATGCGCCATCACCTCATGTATGTCATCAAGCAAACGACCAACTTTGTGCATCAAGTGCCTCTCCTGCGTTACATCTTCGCCGATCACACCCAGCTCAAGCGCCGTTTGGGCGAGATGCATTCACTTGTCGAGACCTCCTTGATCCGTCGTCGTGAAGGCAAGAGCTTTGGCGAAGTGTGCGAAGTCAAGCGGTGCGTCAGCCGCCATTCCGCCTGCTCTGTCGTTGCCAAGTACCGGTGCATGGGACAGTTGTGTGGAGCTGGGCGAAGTGTGCCGTTTTGCTCATGCGTACCACGAATGCCCATGTCGACAGTCACATGATTGATTTGATTATCGAAGCCAACCACAGCGAGTCAGAGGATGGTTACCGCATGTCTGACGAGGTGATGCGTGATAACATGATCTCCCTCATGGCCGCGGGCACTGAGACCACGGCCACGGCCATGACTTGGACCCTGTACTTTCTCGACAAGTATCCCGAGGTTTGTTAGACCCTTCCATTCGTTCCCACCTGACCTGCAGCACAAGCCGTGCCAAGTACCTCGTGCAAAAGCCTTTTTTTTTATTTTTTTTTTATTTTTTATTATTATTTTTGAATCGGCTAACCCCCATAACTCGGTGTTGCACTCATGCCCTTGATCCGACAATGGGGCCTGCGCTTGTGCAGGTGTACCGGAAGGTGCGCGAGGAGAACATGAACATTGATCTGGAACACTTGGCCGAGCCTGGTGATCTGACCAAGATTGTGCCGTATTTGACTCAAGTTATTCAAGAGTCCATGCGCATGTGCAGCCCGCTGGGCAACATCCCCGGTCGACGCCCTTTCAAGGACATGCAAGTTGGCGATCTCGTCGTCCCTGCCCACGTTCCCATGCTCACCTTTGCCCACCAAATCCATCACAACCCTCAAATCTGGGACGCTCCCGAGGTACGGAAACGCGTGCAAGTTTGTTGGGATCGGAGGCGTCATAGACTGGGTACGTCTTGTTTCGCGCACCCACTCATGGTTTGCTTTGGTGACACACTACCTTTCTGTTTCCGTCAGGAGTTCCGTCCTGAACGCTTTGCTAAGGACGGCGAGGCCTCTCGCGACCGCCTTCGCTTCCAGCCCTTTGGTACTGGCCGAAGGTATTGCCTGGGCAAGTACATGGCCATGGCTGAGATGCAGGTACGTCATCAGCGGTTTCATCTCCTTTCTGTCCCTCGAGGCCTTGACCTGAGCGAACGAACGTCTCGACTCGTGTGTAACAACGTGTGCTGGGTGTTGTTTTTTTGCTTGCAGGTCGTGCTGTCGCACATGGTACGCGATTTGCGCTTTGAGTACGCTGGAACAGCGGAAGGCATTACGCCCGCTTTCCGCCCACCAACGATCCAGCCCCGCGATGGCATGCCCATGCACATTAAGCTTGCATAAATTACCAAGAGCTGCACGCTGGATCTCCGTTGAGATCTGTCAAAGCATAGATGGAGAAGCAACGATGGACATACCAGCATCGCTGCCTTTGCAACGCGGTTTGGCAGGGCATGGCGCGTATTTAGACACGCTGTTGCGCTTGCCGCTCAAACCAATTGCGGTACCACCACACCACTCTGGTATATTGAGTGAGTGTGCATGTGTGTTATTGTATCACCATCGTTGCTGATGTTGTCGGTTGTTGGTCGTGCTTGCTCGCCTTGCCAATACCGGCATCCGGAATCCGACTTTGGCCGTGGCGCTGCCAGATCGCTTTGCTCCTTGTTCTTGTATTGTTTCTGCTTGTGCAATGTTCGTCGGAAGTCCCCTCGATCAGGATTGATCCCGGATGGCAAAGCACTGCTCCGTCATCCATCCCAAAGCCTTAGCCTGCCAGCCTGTTGTTTTTATATCCCCCCCCACCTTGTGATCCCATGAATTGAACCCACCAAAGAAATGAACGTGCTGCAAGTTTTTGTGGGAAGGACACGAAGAAAAAGAAATGTCAGACGCTTTACACACACATGTCATCTTTTTTCAAAAAAAAAAAACCTGCATCATGTGGCAGGCAGGAGGGACTGTGCGGCGAATGGTGATGGCTGTGCTCTTGCCGGTGGCGCGGCATCGGCGGGGTGACATGGGGTCATGCTCGCGAGCAATGGTGAGTCGGGAGTTGGTTGACTTGCGCAGGAAGAGTACCAAGTCACGACGGCCGCGAGAACCAGACGCTGCCGTTGTTGCGCGTATCCGGGAGGTCTTGCTGGAGCAGAGCCCGTCGGGCGAGGCGGCGGGCCAAACGAGCACCCACCCGTCACCGTCAAGTGCCGATGAGGAAGCCATGGATCAAACGAACGGATTTGCCACCGAACCTGCCAGCAGCGCGCTTGGGCTGGCAGGTCCCCACGCTTCCGAAGCATCGATAGAAGCCAGCCATCTATTTTTACCAGACCAGCGCGAGCCCGACCAGCCGCCAGATGCCAGGATGTTGCGCGTGGCAGTCATTGGTGTTCCCAACGTGGGCAAGTCAACACTCATCAATGCCATTGTTGGAACCAAGGTGCGTGATGACTTGCAGCCTGTTTTCACGTGATGCATAATACCTTCATCTTTGGGTGTGTACACGGTCACGGAATTTCCTGTTGAACTGGTGTATTTTTGGCAGACTGCCGCTGTTTCTCCCAAAGCACACACCACCCGCTACAATGCACGGGCCGTATGGACTCATGGCAACACGCAGACAGTGAGTACCTTTACCCATTGGTCATGCGTTAAGTGAGGCACCAGGCTGACGGCAACGTGCAGGTTTTCCTCGATACCCCAGGCATCGTGTCTTTTCAAGAGGGCCGCCGCCTTCGCGTTCCACGCTCAGTGGTGGTGGATGCGAAAAATTCGCTGTTCGAGGCTGACGTCGCCGTCACCTTGGTTGACGACCGTCATGTCAATGACCGCCCTTGGTGCGCACGCAGCCCGACTGCGCCCCCCCTCAAAGTTTTAGCTCGCCATGCACCCGTATCTTGTCCACTTGGCTCGTCCTTCATGCTGATGGTTGCTTTCTATTTGTGCCTGCCTCTGCAAACCGTGCAGGTGGCGCCACCATATCAATCCATTGTCCCTGCTTCCACAACAAGACGAGCTGTTGAGGCAGGTCCCCAATGTCCTTGTCATCAATAAGGTTTGTGGGTCCTTTGGGTTTGGCTGACCCGTCTACGCCCGTGCCTTTTCCGCATGTGCTTCGCGCTCATTTGGCCCTCGTTACCCCTCGCTTCCTCCTTGACTCTGGATGCTGCTTGCCTCTTGCTGTTGAGAAAACAGACGGATCTATTGGATCCCAAGCTAGTCGAAGAGTTTTTAGTTTTTGCGGCATCGGCCACCCTCCCGGATTCCAACCAGGCGCGCTTTGAGGCCATTTATCCAATGGCTGCGCGGGCACTCAAGGGACTCGAGGTCTTTCAGGTCTGTTTGAGCATGCGGCTCCACATTTGAGATTGACAACGATGATACTCACGGCTGTTTCCACTGGTAATAGGAGGACTTGCTGGCGCGTAGCAAGCCAGGAGATTGGGAGTTTCATTCATCGCAAGCTTCAGAGCAGAGTTTGGGGGCTCTGATCCTTGAGACACTGCGCGAACAGGTACAATGCTAATGTTTTTTTGCTCTCTGATAGAGCTGTTTGACTTTTTTAAGTTAATCCTTCATCCCTGCTTGAACGGTGTACCCGGTGGCAGTTTTATGTGCACTTGAATAAGGAGCTGCCTTACACTTTAAAACAGGTTTGCTGCGCCACAACCAGTTGTAAAGAGGAAGGGGTAGCAAACGGCAGTCTCGAGCCAAGAGCAGCTCGTTTGAGCATGGGACATTAATCATTGATACGCAAACCCTCTTGTGATTTTCTGCTTCTTGCGGCAGCGGATTGAGGAAGTCTCTCAAGTGGATGGTCAACTCAACGTCCTCATCCAAGTGACGACGCGATCTCAATCTCAATTGGTACGTTGGTGGTGGTGGTTGGAGCTGGAATGCGTGCTTTACCCAAGCGATAGTCAGCTCGTCAGCCGATCAAGGGGATCAAGGCGATGATGGTTGGGGGGTGGGGGACGAAGGGCCTCATTTGTGCTGCTCTGCCATGTTTGCTACTTTGCTGCCGGACTGGTAGCGTATCGTGATTGGCAAGCAAGGCGCCATGCTTCGTCGCATGGTCCAGGCAGCGGAGGTGAGACTAAATCGCCTGTCAACAGCTGGTTATGAGTGACACTCATCCATATGGTGTATCCACAGGCACGGTTGCGAGATCAAACCGGCAAGTCTATAACTCTGCGTGTCAAGCTGGCAGTGGCCAGTCATCCCAAGTAACGCTGGCCATCCCTACTGTCCACTGGCTTTTTTTCGCATTGCATTGAGTCACACGAGACACGCAGAAATACCCCCCCAAAAAAAGCGCCCAACAAGGCAGTCACCCTCCCGCTCCTCTCCCTCTTCTGGTTATTGTGAGGGCAATACAAAAACACATTCGCCGATGCGATGAGGCGGGACAAAGGAGACGCAACTCAAGCCACACATAAAAGACTTCCTTTGGGCAAAACGGAGTGGATGATGTGATGCTGTTCTGGGAACACCACAACGAGTCGGCAGCGAGCGAAGAGGCACGACGTTGAAAAGTCACGGTCTCTTTTCAGACAGGCATAGAGAGAGCGGGCAAAGAGTCAGAGTCGGAAAGAGATCAGAGTAGAGATCAATCGAATTCACACACACGCAGACGCAGCAAGAGTTTGGCCGCTGCCAAGCTCTTCACCCTCTCATGCATCAAGGGTTGATTGTGCGTCATGGTCGCACAGCAGGACAAGCGCAGATGGCTTTAGCATGACCTCCTTCACCCTTTGCGGATAGTTCAATGAAGCTTTCCCAACTTCCAACTCCGACGCCAACGCTGCCGTTTGGCCTCGACGTGCACCGACGTTGCTTGGAGCGGAGCCTGCGTGAATGTCGTGTGTGACCCGCCAGTAGTTTATGAATACATTTTTGAAGATTTTGAAGATTCATTGGCAAGAGCAAAGAAAGTTTATGTTGCAAAAATACCAGTTAAAGACGATACCGTTAGAGAAGGAGCACGTGTGTGGGTGGAGGTCCCAAAGGTGTGTGACATCGGTGCAAATGTCAGCAACATCGCGTTATGTGCTGTCATTGCAACAGATGTGTATGTGTGGTTGTTGAACACTGTTTCCAGCTTGATATTGAACACGTGTGTATGGGGACTCTCTTTCAAGAAGTTGGCGATTGCGCAGTTTGTTGCATTTTTCTCTCTCGCCGTGCGACGCTAACGTCTCTCTCTCTCACTCACAAACACACACGCTGTGCTGGACGTGATTTTGAGTCGCACGCCGTCTTCGTCTTCCTTTGAGGGGGCCTGTGAAGTGTAGAAGGATTGGAGGACACATGGGCAGGGGCTCCTGTTGAGCTGGCATTGCGTGTTCGCCGTGCCCTCAGCCGCCTGCTTGTGCTGCGGGCACCTGCCAATCAAGTTGGTCGCGTGACACCAAGAGCATGGGTTCCAAACACGATGAGGACGAGCTCCTGTTCGAAGCTTCGCAGAGCTATCGGGAGGCCATGGGTCGCAGTGGTGCTGAGAAGCCAGCGGACTCTGCGTCACAGTCTGAGCCTGGAGCTGCATCCGCTCCGAGCGCCGAGCCATCACCATATGATGTCAGCAGCTTTTTTCAGCGCGTGACCTTCTCGTATGTTTCACCTCTTCTGCAGATTGGAGCCAAGCGGGAGCTGGCCTTTGATGACTTACCTGCGGTGGGTATGCGCCAGCCTCAATGGCCGTGCGTTTTCTTCATGACTTTGTCGCCTCCATCCTCCCTGCCCCACGCCCACCTTCGACTCAGCTTGACCCCTCCTGCCGGCAACACAAGCCTCATCAGCGAATATCATAAACAACGGGCCCTAGCACCGTGCTCCATTTCAGTCTGCAGCCAATCTCATCGCATTTTATCGCTCTCACCGTCTAGCTGGCTAAGCGGGATGCTTCCGAGCGCATTGTGAAGGGTTTACTACACCACTGGCGCCAGCTCCAGGCCGAGACAGGTCATCCAACCCTCCTGCGCGCTGCAGCTCGCTTCTACCGCAAGGAGATCTGGTGGGGGGTCTGGTACACTCTGTGCGAGAGCGCTTTTGCTCTGATTCAGCCAGTACTCGTATTCTGGTTTGTGCAATGGCTTGAAGGGAACACCGATTACGGCAACGACTACGGCTGGGGCATTGTAATTGCCCTGGCTACGGCCAGCTTTATGCAAGCCATCACCCATCACCTGCTTTACTTTGAAACTATGCGCCTGGGTTGGAATATGCGCATTGGCATGACCGGGCTCGTGCATCATCATCTCCTCCAGCTCAAGCTCTCTGACATTCCAAAGTTTGGCCTTGGTGCCGTGACCAACCTCATTAGCACTGACGTGCTGCGTTTCGATCAAGCCGCCACCTCCATGCACTTTGGCTGGTCTGCCCCCATCGAAGTCGTCGTTGTCTGTGTTCTTGTCATTACTGAGGTTTGCTAACTTCCGTGCGTTTCTCCTCGGCGCGACCCTGCACATCTCTTGACCGCGCAGGTTCACAGCCATGCTCGTGTGTCCCTGCATAGGTGGGCTGGGGTGCTGGCTTCGCCGGCATTGGCGTGGTTCTATTAGCCATGGCCGTTTTGACGTTCTTCTCCAAGCGATTTGCCACCCGCCGTCGTAAAACTGCGGCCTTTACGGACGAACGCGTCAAGAGCACACAGGTTCGCTGAACCATCTCTTGCTGATCTTGTCTTTGTCGATCTTGAGTGTATAATATTTTTTTTTTTTTAAATTTTCATTTTATTTGATACTCTGCCTCTGTGCCGCTATTTCTGCCCTTGGTAGGAGGTGTTGAACGGCATTGGCACGGTCAAGGCATATACCTGGGAGCAAGCGTTTGGCGAACGAATCAACGGTCTTCGCAAGTTGGAGGCACGTTCAATTCTCAAGGCGCAGCGCATGAAAGCTATCAACTCCACCATGTACTTTGCCACTCCCATCATCGCGTCTCTGGTCACCTTTTCCGTATACAACGCGCAAGGTCGCACTTTCAGTGTAGCCCAGGTACCCTTTGACGAATGTTCTCCTCCTCCTCTGGCAGTCAAAAACCAAAGGTTGTATGGCGAGATATTGCCATATACCCTCTGACTTACTCCGTGGCCGTTCTAGGTGCTCTTCATCGTTGCCCTTTTTCAAGCCCTGCGCCTTTCCGTCGGCAAGCGATTTACAAGGCACGGCAATTGTGTTTGTCAAGGATAGAAAGAACCTTTTTTCTTCCAAAACCATGATACGTGTGTGAATGTGCACTTGACTCATAGCCCACTGCCTTTTGCGCTCGGATATGCCAACAGATTCATGGAATCCGTTCCGGAGTGCTTCGTTGCACTTCGTCGCATTGAGCAGTTTCTGGCCGTGGGGGACAATACAGCTCCTGTCGACATGACTGCGTCTGCATCACCGCCGCAGAGTGCTGTTCCAGCCGATGAGGCAACTGAAACTACTGATCTGTCTGCAGCAGGCACGGCCTTTGACTTTCGTGATGCCAAACTTGGTCACGGTCCATCTGACAATCCGACCTTTGTGCTGGAGATTGGCAACCTGCAAGTCCGTGCGAGCGAACTGGTTGGCATTGCCGGCCGTGTCGGAGAGGGTAAAACCACCTTCCTTGAAGGCATACTCGGCGAGGTTCACTGCATTGCTGGCTCCATTCATCATTGCGGTCATCAACTGGCCTACGCGGGCCAATCCCCCTGGATCTTTGCGGGCTCGCTGCGCGACAATATCCTCTTTGACACGCCATTTGAAGCAGCGCGGTATGCATCGGTGCTTGAAGCATGTGCCCTTGTTGCAGATATTGCGGCTCTCCCCAATGGTGAGGACACGGAGATTGGCGAGAAGGGCGTCAACCTGAGCGGTGGCCAAAAGGCTCGTGTGGCTCTGGCTCGGGCCTGCTACTCGCAGGCCCCAGTGGTGTTGCTAGACGACCCCCTGTCGGCCGTGGATGCACACGTGGCCGAACATCTTTTTGCACAAGCTATTGCCACCTTCTTGCAGGGCCGCACTGTGTTGCTTGTAACCCACCACCCACACTTTGTGGCTCGCTGCGACCGTGCCCTCTTGATCGAGGATCACACCGTCCGCGAGGTACCGGTTGCCGACTTTGCCAACGTGGCCTCCACCCTTACTGTCACATCGGGCTTGTTGGCCAACATCAAGGCAAGCCCGCCTGCCGACCCCGGCACGCCGAGTGATGATACAAGCATCAGCTCGGATGAAGGCGAGGCTGGTCAGAGCGCGGCAATCGCCACGGCAAAGAGCACCACCAACACGGCAGCTGGTGCCGACAAGTCAAAAAGTCCCCACCAGCTCGTGTTGGCGGAGGACCGCAAGTCTGGCGACGTTGGTTCGGGCACCTACTGGGTTGGTTGACTGGTCCTGGCATCGTGTTTTCATCTATATTTCCAAGCTTCTCACTTTCCACCTTGCACGCCATGACTCTCCTCACCTTTGCAGGCATATATGAAAGCCGGTGGCCTCCTGCTCGTGTTGCCGTCCCTCATGGGTTTTCTGTTCATGCAAGGCGGCCTCATGGTGTCGGATTGGTGGTTGCAGCGCTGGGCTCAGCAATCGGCCGAGGACCAAGACCGTGACAGCAACCTGCACATTTACTTGGGCCTCTCCTTGGGAACCACTGCTCTCGCCCTGTGCAACGGCATGCTCTTTTTCTCCGCCATCAATCGGGCCAACAGTTCTCTTCACGAGCAGGCGCTGGCACGCGTCATCGGCTGCCCCATGCATTTCTTCACCGCCAACCCGTTGGGTCGCATCATCAATCGCTTTGCCAGTGACTTGGGCCAGGTCGACGAGCTGCTACCAATCATTGTTTACGATACCCTCATGTTGGCGGCACAGGCCTTTGGCTCCATCGTGGTCGTGTGCATTGCCTTGCCATGGCTCATCATTGGCGTTCCATTTGTGGTCTGGTATCTTGCTCATGTTCGAGCGTACGTAACCAAGAGCCTGCGTGCCCTCAAGCGTTTAGAAGGCGTGACCAAGTCACCCGTTTATGCCATGTTCTCTGCCAACCTGGCTGGCCTCAACTACATTCGCAGGTGCGTCTTTCATGTCCGATACTCCGATCAATCTCCTGCAACTATGCTCCACCCTTACCCTTCTCTTTCTTGAGATGGCGCGCTCAACCCCCACTGTGCACGCCTGTGCTTATCAATATAGTTTCCGTGCACATGAAGGCTGTGAGGAGCGTTACCTGGCACGCTTAGATGAGACGGCCGCCTGCTGGTTTTGGTGGCTATTGGGGAACCGATACATTGGTTTTCGCTTGGACATGCTTAGCACCTGCGTCGTCACAGCCACAGCCATTGTGGGTATCCTCTTGCGTGACACGGTTGACCCTGGCCTCCTGGGTCTGGCTTTAGTCTATGCTGTGGCCCTTTCCGGTCTATTTCAGTTTATGGTCAGTTGGCCCCATGTGATGCTCGCCCATCGCCCACTGCTGCAAGACTCTGCCATTCCCTCTCCGACCCTCTTTTGAACGATCTGGAGCAGCGCACAGGTGGCTAACACAGTCGTGCTCTTGTTCTCTTTGCTATCTCGTGGTCAGGTCCGCCTGTCGGCTCAAGTGGAGACTTACATGACTTCAGTGGAACGCATTCTGCACTACGCACGACATTTGACAACCGAGTCGGACGAGGAGGCTGTTGCAGCTCAGGGCCGCGCCCTGCCAGACGTCGGCCCGGCTTGGCCAGACGCGGGCATGCTGGAGCTTCATGACCTGAGCGTGCGATACCGCGACGACCTGCCAGACGTTTTACACAGCCTCTCATTGACAATGGAGCCTGGCTCCAAAATCGGGGTGATGGGGCGTACGGGCTCTGGTAAATCGTCACTGATTCAAGTACGTATTGTGACTATGTAACATGATTTCTGTTTCTGATGATGTATGTGGTCTATTTGCGTTTTTGCTCATCCTGCTGACATATCTCACATCACCCCGACAGGCGCTGCTGCGACTGAACGTCATCTCCAAGGGATCGATCATCATTGATGGATTGGATACTCAAAATGTTCCCCTCTCGGTACACACTCGCATATAGCCCGTGTGCCTGTGCCTTGCTGTTTGGGTTGCGTGATGTGCTCCAATGGTGCTCAAGCAGTGTCAACGATCCATTCCGGGTTGCGCTGCTCACTGCCTGTTTTGACATCTCCTTGCCATGCTTGTACTTAGCGCCTGCGCCAAGGCTTTGCATTCATTCCACAAACCCCCGATCTCTTTGCGGGCTCGGTGCGCTTCAATTTGGACCCCAAGGGTGCCTTCTCAGAGCATGAATGCGCTGATGTATTGAAACAAGCGCACCTTGGGAACCTCACTTTGGATAGCCAGGTTGGTATCCTCACTTGCGAATCCGCCCGTCGAGTGTGCAAATTCCAACCAAGGAATTTAAAAAATGCAATCCCCCCGCCATTAGGTGGATCATCAAGGGCAAAATTTGTCAACAGGGCAGCGCCAACTCCTGAGCCTCGCGCGCGCCATGCTACATCGCCGCCGTATCGTCATCCTTGATGAAGCCTCGGCGAACATTGATTACGACACCGACGAGCTGATTCAGCGGTCAGTATCCGCTTTGCAAACAACTCTGCGTCTTTGCCCCTCTTTTCCTTAATCCTCGACGCCCTCTCTCGTGTGCCATGCCTTCCCTGCGATTGCTCATCTATTCGGTCAACCATGCAGCTACTTGCGTGAGTCAGACTATTTCAAAGGTTGCACCATCATAGTCATTGCGCATCGTCTCAAGACAATTGAGGATGCCGATACCATCATTTGCCTCAAGGGTGGTAGGTTTGCGTGCTCCGCACCCATGTTTGAACGGGGAATCGCCAAGCCCCCGCTCTTGTTTCACATTGTTTTGATGAACACTTAGGGCATTTGGAGCGTTTGGAGCAACACAAGTCAGGATCAAGTCAAGAGCCAGGAGTCAGCCAGTAGAAAGAGTGAACCAGCCGAGAGGGCTGACGTGATTCAGATTCAGAAAACACGCAGGATGCACCATCATCTTTCCTTCACGAGGGCAAAGGCGTGGTAGACTTTTGGGCTAGCGATGAGCAATAGAGGTTGTTTGGAGAGTCAAAACTCGATTGATACAGTATCACCCATGGTATTCTGTTCGACACAACACATGTCTCTTCAAGCAGTCAATAACATGGGAATCTAAACTGGGAGTCAACTCGAAGCGAGCGAGTCACACGACGCATGCGTCAGACGAGAAAAGAAAAGAAGTACACACAGGAACACGGACAAGTGCAAGCGTCGCGCGAGAAAGTCAAAAGGGGAAAGCGGTTATACTGTTGTCTCATCATTAGGTATAGAATCGGTCAGATCGGCGCTCGTTTCGAGCACCACACGTCGACCAGAGGGTCGCAGAGTTGGTTGAGGGGGCCCAAAAGCCGGGCGAGAAACGGCCACAGGACGCGGCGGCATAGGGCCGCGCAAGAGTGGCGTGGGTCGATCTCCAAATAGTGGCCGAGGCCGCCCTGGAACCGGACGGCCTTGCATGTAGGGCAAGGAAGGCAGGCTGGTCGGCAAAGGTGCTCGGGGCAAGGAGGTCATGCGCACCGATGGGCGAGCCGTGGATGGCTCGAGTCGTGGAGCGGGCCACGCGCGAACTGGTGGGGCCAGCCTTGGCATGGTCTGCGGTGGCCGAGTCGTCGATAGCACTTGACCAGTTTCCATGTCGGTGGCATTCGAGTTGGAAAAGCTGACCTGGCGATGAACTTTTTTGTCACCTTTTGCAATTTTCTTCTTGGCTTCCGTCGGAGCGGCTGCATCCACGACAGTTTCCTGCATCTCTGGTGTGGCTGCAAAGTCATCCAAAGCTGCACTGGCAGGACCGGCCGAGGGTACCTCTGACTCAAACGTAAACGCAGTTTCGGAGTGAACCGGCGCGGCAACAGGCACTGACTGATTCAATTCCAATTCATCGTCGAGATTGGTGGTCACAGATTGTGGCGTCTGAACACGACCTTGGTCTGACGTGCGAGTCTTAGAGGCAAGGTCGAGGGAGGGCATCAACTCGAGCGCACCCGATTCCATTTCCAACACATGGGCCTCTTTGAGCTCTTCATCGTTCGTTTCCACTGTGACTGTCGATGACGCCACGCTGATGCGCGCCGAATGCAGGCTGGCTAAACGCGACTTGTCTGTCATGGGATAAGTTTCCGGGGCCACTGAGGAGCTGCGCCGCCAAGGTGCCTTTTCCTTGGATCGTCCGGCGACCTTCTCGGCTGTCGTAGTGCCAGCACGCCGACTGCACTTGTAGAGCAAAAGAAGCAGCAAGGCAAGGACAAGTGCCGCGCCAATCGCAACGCCAATCCACATACCGGCTCGCTCAGCATCGGCCTGCTGCGTGCTGGAAGCAACGTCCGTCCCATTCACAAAGCTAACAGCCCGCACCGTGTAGCGCGTATAGTCGTAGGCAATGCCATCCGTGCCACCCAGAGCCAATATTGACTCGGTCACGGCGTTGGCATCCTGCACGGCGCTGCGATACAGTCCAAATTGCAAGGTAATCTCGCCCCGGCCCGTATTGTTTGTCTGCACCACCTGTCGATCAATGGCAACGACGGTGACATTCACAATGGCTTCTGCGACCACGCCCAAAAGGCTCACCAAGTCCGCATGAGCAGCGCACGCAAACGGCGCCAACCAGGCTGCGCGGTCGTCGTAGTAATTGCGAAAGAAGCGAATGTGAAACAAATCCGTGCCCGCACGAGGCGCAGAGGGTAGGGTTTCCTGACAGCCCGGTGCCTGTGTGCCAGCGTCCGGCGAACCATCCGCATAAAAGCCCGCGACTATCACATTGAGACGGCTGCAGCGGCACTCGACAACGTCAGTGCCGTCCATAATTCGCTCCGCGTAAAAAACACATCCTTCCGCGTTCCAAGTATGCGTGCTGGCTTCGTACACACGGCACTCGAAGCGCGCATCCTCGACCGCTCGGCGGCGATCAGGCGTGGCAAAGTGCACGTAGTTGGGCACTTGCACTGGTAAGAACACCTGGACGGGCGGTTGGAAGCTTGAGCTTTGTACAGTTGTGCCTACGCGCTGATCGATCAGGCGCGCCTCATGCACGACCGTGGCCAGTTGTGTCGAAACGTCATCAAGGTCCGCTGTGGTGACATCGCCGGCGAATGCCACAGAGGCCACGCACACGCCGCGGCAAGGGGGCCAGCTGCTATGATCACCACATGCCCACGCATCAAACCTCGCGGCAAAGGCCGCTGCGTAATGCACCTTGGTTGACCATGAGCCCAAGGACGTAGTGGTCGTCGGTGTTCCCATGGCCGTGTCACCATCCGTGACGGCAGCATGGATGGCCACGACGCTGTTTTGGTACGTGTATGCGGCGCTGTATGGCGTCTGTTGCGCACACTTCACCCGAGCCAGGGCATCGGCAAGTAAATGAAGTCGGCTGCGATAGCGTCGCTGGGGAGCTGTGAAGACGCTGAAATTGATGAGCCGTGAAAAAGTGCTCACGGCTACCTCGAGCTGAATGGGGTCGAGAGCGGTGGCTGGATCTGCGCTGGCGGTGATTGTCTCACGACGCTGTCGCTGTGCTGGTGTGCCCTGAGCCGTCGTGGGCAAGGCACGAATGCCGCTTGCCACAACAAGCTCGGCCTCGCCCAGCAGGTGACCCACCGTATACAATACCAAGTCGGCCCAAGTTTGCTGGGCAGCAAAGCTTGCGCGCGGTAAGGCCGCTTCGCACAAGAGCAGCGCCCCGAGGGCCACATGCCCCGTGGCGCCATCCCACAGGACTACGTCCTCAACCAACACCGCCGCAAACAGATCGATGGCATTGTCTATGTAGCGACGCTGCTCCGCTTCCGTAAGGTTCACGATCCGAGTAGCATGAGTGCCAAAAACAGCCAGTACCAGTGTAGCCACGTCGGCTAGCGCTCGCGACCAGTCACCCCGTCGGCGCGAGTCTTCGGCTTGCATGAGATGTGTCTGCAGCGTGGCTACGTCCGGGGTGTGATGAGATGGAGCCACTCGGGCCTGCACGACACGGCGCACTGCATTGCCTCGTGCGCTGCTGGCTTCTAAAATCACGGGTAGACTGTGATTTGTGCCCCAGCCAAGCGGCAGCAGCCGCTGAATGTTTGCCAGCGCCATGAACGTTGATAGCCAGCGCACGGCGCCATCAGCACCCTGATAGCCAAAGCGGTATAAGACGGCCTCTGTGTTAGTTGCGAACCCTTGCGCTTGAAGTTCAAACGATGTCTCCGCCTCGGTACCATGACTCGCAATTGTCAATTGGCCCGGAATGACGCTCCGCGTTGTTTCAAAGTTGAGCTGAGCCGCTCCCGCAATCGCAGATGCTGTAGTGGCGGTCACCGTCAACGTATAGCGCTCTCCCTCCTGCAGCACCCGCATATCTAAATCGATTTCGACGAGGAGACCAGAAGCAGTGCTGCTGCTTGTGGTCAAAGCCTCTTCGTTCAACGGCAAAGTCGGACTTACCAATGCCGCATGCTCTGCAGACAAAGTCTGCACCTCTCCCCCAGAGGCCTGCAGCGTGGCCTCGAGTGTCACCAGGCTAGTGCTACTTTGTACTGCTACTGCAACTCGCAAAGCGTGCTCGCGGCGCAGCAATAGGGTCCCATCGTTGTGATAGCGCTTGTGTCCCTGCCTGGGCTCGGCGCTGACAAAGCTCACTCGAGGCACCTCCACCCCGCTCGGTGCCTCAACAATGGTAAAGTGCGCTGTGGCATGCGCCCGCCGTGCACCATGGATGTAAAAGCCCACAAACTCATATGTGCCCGCCCAGAACAGACTGGCCGGCAGCTCAATGTGGACTTGACTGGCAAGCAGCAAGGCAGTACCATTACGATGCGTGCAAGCCAAACCCGCACGGGTCAAGCAGGTCCATGAAAAACGCGTGGACAGGGCATCGCGGGCCTGTGGAACCAGTGCGTCTTCGATGGCTGCCACGGACAAAACCACCACCCCGTCGTGGGCAATGGTCCGGTTCGGTTGCAAAAGAACCACGCGAGGATTCGGCGCCACGACCTGGACTTGATGACGAACAATCCCAAGTGAAGTGCCGTTGGCTGTCAAAGTGAGTTGCGCGGTGGTCACGCCGGGTGTCAAAGAGGCTGCAGGAACGGTCAGCATGCTCCCTGCACCAGACCAGATCACGTTGGAACTGCTTGAAGTGCTGTTCTGCAATGAAGAACCGACCGCTGAGCTCGATCGAATCGACCATGTGAAAGACCAGATCAAAGAGACTGAAAAATCAAGGCAAGTTGTTGCAGAGTCTTCCAAGCGGGCAAAGAGTCGCAGGTCCTCTGAGCTCACGACCTGGGCTGGGCCGTGCACTGAGACCAAGGGAACGGCAAACGGCACGCGAGTAACAGTGTGGAAGGCAGCCGCACTATCCACACCCAAGAAATTGCGCACTACCAAAGCAAAAGTATACGTGGCGTTGACCGCCAGCAGAGAAGCTGGGACATGCACGACAGCATCCGAGGCATCACTGAGCCAGTCTTCCAGTTCCGACGTATCAAACCCGTCCACGCTGCTCACTGACCAGCGCGCGGCCATTGGCCGCAGGGTCAGGCCGGAGCTTAGAGAAGCAGCGTCCAACGTCAAGGTACCCTCACAACTCGAAAGCTGGTCTGGCCCGCGGATGTACACAACGGGTGCTGCGGGACTTGTCGGGGCTTCGACGGTGAGCCTGGCCAGCAGTGGCAGAGAGTACAATTCATCGGGGGCTGAGACTATGGTGCCCGTCAACACGAGCTCGTCGCCCGGTTCAACGGTGGCATTTGGACCCAGGGTCAGGCGAAACTCTGTGCTGTGAGTCTGGCGGCACTCGAGCAAATTCAATCGGGGTGTTGCTGTACCCACGGGGGTATCGGGGCGCTGCAGCAATAAGCTAGAAGAGCATTCCTCCGGGCGCAATTGGATGGCAGCTGCAAAGTGGATGACAAGCTCTGCCCCAGTCTCAGTGATGATGGCACGAGTGGGTAGCGGAGCCTCACGCCACAAGCGAATGGTTCCCTTGGTTGGTAGAAACAACGAGTCGCTCACCCGCACAAACAGGGCTGCGTCATGACTGTGGGACCAATGACGCCATATATCAGGTGAGCATGACAGCGAGGGCCCCGGCTCTAGGCGAGCGGGGCCAACCACGACATCCGATTCTTGGGTCGACCAGGCGTAGTCCTTTGATAGGCCCAAAATGACGTCAATCTCGTGGCTCGTGGCCATGCTGCACGGCTGACGGTTGAGCGTGCTATCAAAGACGATCTCCACTTGAGCTCCGACATGGAGCAACGATTGGTTGCTGAGATTGGGAGTGGCAGCGTTGATATTTACCGTCATCACGCGTGCGTTACGAGCTTGGAGGAGTTGCAGCAGTTCAGCTTCCGTGCTCAGCGATAATCCAACTGGAGCGGTCTGGACAACAACGCGCAAGCGATCGGCCCAGTTTAAAGCATCACACCGCCCGCTAAAAGTCGTCCACAAACCTTCTAAAACGCCAAGCGCCCCATTCCGATTTGACCCTCCAGTTCGCACCGCAATACAATATAAATCTTCTTGAGCAGGCAGGCCGTGTTGGCTGGGCAAGGGCGCCAAGCCCACGGCAGTGGATTGGTTTGTAGACAGGGTGATGTTAGTTGGATCGGGCTGGGGAATGTTAGCAAGCCAAACATCTAGGTCCACGGCCGTGTTGTAGACGTCGCCAGAGTCGGGGGCGCGCAGAGAGGCGGGTGTGTCAAGCACCACCAAATGGGCCTGGCCCACCAAGTCACCAGTGGCCAATTCCAAAGCCACAGCATAGGTTCCGTGCGCCAATGCGGGCAACATACAGGTGACCAGAGGATGTCCCAGGTCAGCTGACGCTATTGTGGCTCGACTCACAAGCGCTCCCGCACTGGTGGATACCCGACATAGTGCAGACGCTTCCAGAGATGCCAAGCCAGTGCCATTCACGTGGACAGCACGGCTCACGCCGGCGGGCACGACAGCAGGCAAGAGCCCAGTAACGGACCGGCAAGCGGTCAGATTGAAGGCGCGGCCTGTGTGACCTCCGACACACGTACCACAACCATCAAGCACCGCGTTACCAAGGCAATCACCATGGCAGTCGAACCAGGCTTCACCACACACAACGTGCCCCTGATTCTGACACGTGGAATCCCAGGTCCGAGTGCCAAAGCACTTGCCTGCACAATCCTTGGCGCCGTTCACGGCAGCACCAGTCATTCCACCGGTACAAAGGCCACAATCATCGATCACTGGGACCGCAGAACGCCAAGGCGGATCATTGCAGACAACCCAGCAGCAAAAATGAGCAGCGATGAGGGAGATGAGGCAACTAGTCAAGATCAAGCAGTGAGCAAACAAGACACACACGAGAAAGGGACCCACCTGCAGAACCAAAACAAACTCCATCGCAATCTTGTGCAAGATTGGGCTGTGTCACATTGGCTGTTCCCCCAAAGCATTCACCGCAGTCGTCCAATTCTGTCCAAGAAACACACGAACACATGAGAAAGGCGGTGAGCGGAGTGCAGACCATGTTTGAAAATTCAACAGCAGAGAGAGGCAAGCGGACTGCTCCTAATACTTACCAGCTAGGCCGAAACAGATTCCGGCGCAATCCTCGTCGGCATTGGACCCCGCACAGACGCCACAGTTGTCCACGCGCGCCGATGAGTTGACCATAAAATCGCAGCCAACGCAGTCAGAGGCGCCGCCACAAACGCCACAAGCGTCAAGTTTGGCATTGGAACCGTTGAGACCATCGCAACCCATGCAAGCGACGCCATTGCCCCCGCAAACACCGCAAGCATCAACACGCTGCATGGAGCCAGCCCGGCCGTCGCAACCAAGCCGCAGGACTGAGACCCTCGCCTCGAAAGCAGACAAGGACGGACGAACGATGGCCAACTCCACGTTGCGCTGCCCCACGCGCCCCAAAGAACGATCCCAGGCTGCAAAATGAAGCTCAGGAGCCTCGGCAAGGGGCCACCACGCCATGGGGTGCGCTCGATAGGCAATCTCCGCTTCGGCGCCAAGTAGAAGCACGGTCGGCGCAAAATGGCTACCGTTGCCAACCACAAGCCACGGGCTGGTGGGCGAAAGCCGATACACCCATCGACCGGCACAAGCACTTTCAAGTTTGCACCCTACGGCCCGCGTGATAGCCAAACCCACAGAGTCACCGTCGACGTCCATCGCACCGGAAAAGGCCAGCAAGTCTCCGGCCCTGGTGATGGGCGTCGCTTCGGTCCAGTCGTATGGCAACGCCGTCAGATTCCAGGGGCCAGCAAGTGCCAGAACCGGGCGGTCAGGCTGTGGCTCGACCCACTGTGTGCAAGTCAAGTTGGCCGAATAGCCCACTCGTCGGTTGGGACTGCTGTGCGAGCCTTGCCGCAAAGCACACGTCAAGTTGGCCCAGCCGTATGCGTTGTGAGCTGGGACAAAGCGTAGCCGAGCCGAAGCTGGAACCAAGGCCGGGGTGGCATCATCCAGGACCAGTTCGACCCACGCATTACGCTCCTGCGTAAAAATCTGCCATTGGCCTGCGGCCGTGCTCAAAGAACTGGTTGCAGGGGCTCCGTAAATGACAAGGTCCCGGTCCGCACTGGCACGGAGGTCATCAGTAAAGGCACGAAAGCGTGTCGCCAAGGCTAGGGGGTCACAAGGTGCTGTGCATCCCGGGAGCGTGGTATTGCTTCCATCGTCAAAGCCACTTGCAGCCACTCGGTGGAGTTCATCAAACGCCGCAACATCTGCCACAAGCTCCAGCACGGTTAGACCTTGAACGGCTTGCGAGCTGACGTCCTCAGTAAGGTCTGGCAATGTGGCCCTCGTGCTGAGCGCGTAGGGCTCTGGAGCTGCCGGTACTACAGAGGCCAGCATCAGCGCAGTGGTGGCGCTTGAAGCGTAGCGCAGCTCGGTGTCGTTCTGTTGCACACTGGTCCCGGCTGCGTGGGCGATGCCATTGTAAGCAGACACGTTGAGCCATGCCACCCCAACAAAGTCATGCTGCGCAACAAATTGAAGGGACGTATTGTGAGGAAGCAGGAAGACGTGCGATGTGTTGCACACTTCTGCTAGCGGTTGCCATGCCATGCGAGCCTCGCTCCAGAACGACCAGGTGCCCCCAACATCGTGGGCGGTGTTGATGCGAAGAATGGCATCGGGATCTCTGGAAAAGGGCCCTGGCACTGCCGCGCTGGCATACCGACCGTTGTACAACACAAACGCATCATCTAGCAGATCTGGTCGCAGCGTGACATGGAGTTGAAAATCGGTCGTATTCACTCTCGGCTTTGCACCTCGGTCAGTGGCACGAACGGTCAAGTTCCAAACTGGGGTGGTCAGGCCATCGAGTGCAGCGCTGAGCCGCAAAATACCAGAAATTGTGTCCACCTCCGCTGGCACTTGCACGGAAGAATCCAGCGTGAATCGAACATCCCCGTTCAAACCGGTGTCGGCATCGAACGACTCTGCCACCGTGAGGACCGTTCCTATAGGCGCATCTTCGCGCACTGTGGCCGCCTTGGGCGTGAGCCACACGCGCGGGGTGTTGTCATTGACATCTTGCACGTGAAGAAGCACCTCAACAATGCGGCTCTTACTGAGGGGACCATGGTCTACCGCACGCACAAAGGCGGAATGCGAGATTTGGCGCTCGTAATCCAAGCCAACAGCAAGGTACACGGCACCTGATGTGGCGTTGACCACAATCGCTGTGCCGTTCATCAGAGTATAGGTGATACGGCGGTCGTCCCCGTCGTGTTGAGCAAGGGCCATCACGTTGGCGATGGTCGCAGATACCGGGGTGTCTTCGGGCACATTCAATTCATAGCGGCCTGCCACCAAGTCGGTGCCGGTGAACACGGGTGGTGCAAACCACTGCACCTGGACGAGCAAGTCTCCCGAGGCGTTGAGCCGTGGGAGACCGTGATCCTGTGCCAGCACAGGTAGCACGTATCGATCCTGTTGTGCGCCGTTCAGCGGTGCAACAACTCGCAGACTGGCCGTGTTGTTACCGTGGTCGATCAACTCAAAAGGACCATCTGAGCTCCTCAACGCTAAAGCCAAGCGAGCGTTGGCGCCCACATCGGCATCCGTAGCCGTCAACGTTGTCACCACAGTTCCGGGTGTGGCCTCCTCGCGCACGACGACTGGTGCGAGTTGTAGCACCGGGGCGTTGTCATTGACATCAGTGACGACTAGCGTCAGTTCCAGCAGAGAGCGCTTGCGCAATGGACCATAGTCAATGGCCTCCACGGCCACCCGAAGCTCACTGCCCGACTCGCGATCAAGTGGCTGTGCCAGCACTGCCCGCACACGGGTGCCGCCGTCCACGCCCACCAGATAAAGGGCAGGATTTTCGGTCACATACTCAATCTGGCGATTGACATCATCATGCTGGGGCCAAGCGACCAGCTCACCTAGCGTTGTGTTGACGGTTGTAGCTTCAGATACGTTCCACCGCAACAGAGCTCCCTCGATGACGGACTGGGGCAGGCTCATGTTGGTCTGGGCATCGACAAACACGGGTGCCCCAAACTTGACCAAGAGCACGGTGATGGCTACCTCCCCTTCGAGCCCGGTGGGGTCGCCAAGCCGGTCTGTGGCAATGATGCGAAAGTGCAGCACCTCATCATCCAAACCAACGACGGACCGTGTCAGTGTGACCATCCCCGTCGTGGCGTTGATGCCAAAGTAAGACGCGTTTGCACCGTCAAGACGATACGACACAGCTGCATTGAGTCCAACATCGGCGTCGGTGGCCACGGTGTGTACGACGACCGTACTTATATTGGCCTCCTCGCGGAGCTGCACGCTCAGCGTAGCCGATTCGAAGGCCGGTGCATTGTCGTTCTCGTCTGTAACGCGCAGGTGTATCGTGAGCTCGCTGCTTTTGCTTGGCACACCGGCATCACTGGCTCGCACGCGCAACTCAATGGCATCCACCAACTCGCGGTCAAGCTTGGGGTCTGCCACAATGACTTGGCCGGCAGCTTCAACGCGCACGCCAGCGATTGGGGAAGACATCGTCACGTCGAGCCCGCTGCGCCACAACCGCTGAGACAATTGCTCATACACGACACTGCGATTGACAAGATCATGCTGTGGCTGCGCTTCAAGCTGGGCAATGACTGCACCACTCGGCGTTGCCTCGGAAACGTTCAGCCGAGCAGGAATCGGAGCCGTGAAAATGGGCGCCTCAAACGCCGTCACTCTGACCTCGACGCTCAAGAAAGACTCGAGCTGGTCCATATCGAAGGCACGCACGCGCAAGGCCAGAGGAGCATCCGTTGCCCATACTTCGGCCGTCTGCTCGAGCTCTGCCGTGGAGGTGTTGATTGCAAAGTAAGGACTGGGCGGATCAAGGCTATACCGCACCACGTTGAAGGGCGGGCCATCCGCATCCGTGGCCTGGGGCAGCGCAAAAAAGCTACCCACATACGCCGGGCCCTCGCGCAAAACGACAGTGGCATTGGCAACCAAAAAGACCGGAGCACAGTCATTGACGTCCGTCAGCGTAACTACAACGGGGAAATTGGCATGCTTGCGCATCGGTCCATAATCTTGCACCTTGATGTCAAAAGCATATTCATCCGTGGTTTCGCGGTCCAGCCCTCCTGAAACGAGGAGCGCTGTCTCTGCGACGATAAAGGGCACGCTGTCGATCGCGCCGTCGTTGAGCTCAAAGCTGGCGCTTTGATTCAGCCCGTCGTGAAACACCGAAGCCGATAGCTGGGTGACGACGGCCTGCAAAGGTGCGTCTTCGGGAATCGCGAGGCGAAGCACGCCGCTCTCGTCGAGAGCCCGAAGCCGCGGTGGGGGAAACCACACTACCCCAACCACAACGTTTGTCGTGGACGTAAAAAGGCCGTCCGTTACCGCTACTACCAACGTGTAGTTGGTAGGACTCGCGCTTGCCAACGACGTGCTCACGGTGAGTTGGCCCGTCCGCGCCCCGAGCGCAAACAACGTCGTGCCGTTGAGCAGGGTGTACTCAAGCGGTGTTTGGGGCACAAGGTCGCGATCGTTAGCAGACACCACACCCACAACTGCGTTAGGGGTGGCCTCTTCCCGCACCACAAATGCGTAGTCCTGGGTCTCGAATATAGGAGCATTGTCGTTGACATCCAGCACCAATAAACGAACTTGCTGCGTGCTTTCCTTCTGGAGCGGGCCGTGATCCTGAGCCAACACGGTAAAAACGACCTCGGGTGTCAACTCCCGGTCCAAGGCAGACTCCAATGCCACGACGCCACTCATTGCCGCGATCGAAAGTTGGCTGGGCACAGGCGGCACTAGGGCATAGGTCAGCCCCTGATTTGCGCCGTCGTGCCAGGCCTGCGCCTGCATTTGACCCAAAACTGCACCAACAGTTAGGTTTTCCAAGGCAGTCCAATTGATGACTGCCAGCGGAGGCACAAAGGATGGGGGTGGAAACCAGGTCACATTGAGAACAAACTCGGCCACCGTGCGCCGTGCAGGACTACCGCCATCCGACACAGCAACGCGAACAATCGCGCCATCATCCGATGGTCCCCGCAAAGCGCGCCGCAGCCAAAGTGAACCTGAGCTAGCGTCAATCTCTACCAGATCCACAGAGCTTATCACCTCAAACAGAAGCACCGCATTAATGCCAACATCCGCATCGGTTGCCTGCACCACAGCAAAGGAAGTGTTGACGGCCTGCTCTTCGCGCACGGCCACACTTCGAGATGGGGCCAACACCACGGGCGCATGATCATTGACGTCAAGTAGCTCGATGACCACAGAAGCTAGATTCCGTTTGCGCAAAGGCCCAGCATCTGTGGCGCTGACCACAAGCGTGTACTCTGACTGCACCTCACGGTCCAAGGGTGCGGCGACCTCCAAGCAAGCATGGCTGGCATTGATCTGGATCAGGCGAAATGGGGCGTTGGAGGTTTCCATGGCAAAGGTTACCGTTTGATTGGAGAAGTCGTGCTGTGCTGTGGCACTCAGCGCAAGCACGAACGTGCCTAGCGTTGCATTCTCCAGGATGGCTCCTGCGTACGAGGAAGCAGAGAAAATAGGGGCGCCAAAGCGCACAATTTCAACCGTAGCGTTGTTCTGCGAGCTCAGCATGGGGCTCCCGTTGTCCTGCACCCGCAATTGCATCTGAATGGACGATACATTGATATCTGCCAACGAGGTCCTGGTGCTTATCACACCAGAACTGGTGTTTACAACCAGCAGCCCGGAGGGCTCGGCGCTGACAATGGAGAAAGACAATTCAGAGGCTTGGGTTCCCGCCTCGTCCGCGTCTGTTGCCGTGATCATCATTATCGGCGCACCAATGGCGACTTCCTCCCCAATGGCCACAGGCGTTTGATAGCTAAGCACGGGCGCGTTATCATTGACGTCAATGATGCGCACGAACATGACCACTTCGCTCGTCTTGCTCGGCAGTCCAAAGTCCGTCACAGCCACCACCACTGAAAGATTGTGTGGCACATCCCGATCTACGCTGAGATTAGCATAGACAGCGCCAGTGTCATCGACCGCAAAGGAATCCGCTACTCCGCGACTTTCAGCAGCCAGCTGAAGCCATGCCTGGCGGATCGAAAAGGTGAGACTACGATTGTGTTGATCGTGCCGAGGCACCGCCTTCACCACGCCCACAAGCTGCTGACCACCCTGCTCCTCGATCAGAGACCCCACCCGACTAGACTCGTTAATGAAGGGTGGCTCGAACCAGATCACCGTAATAGTGGCATGGGCGTAGCTCATGCGCTGTGGTGTGCCACGATCCGCGACGGAAATGTTCAGGAGATAGCTGTCCATGCGGGCGCCATCAAGTGGGGCCGCAAGCACCATAGTGCCTGTGCTGGCATTGATCACAAAAGGACCGACGTTCGCGTTCATCAACGTGTAGCGAAGCTCGGCGTTGATACCCTCATCGGCGTCAGTCGCTTCAACGACCATGACATCCGCACCAACAGACATCGACTCACGCACAACAGCGCCCAAGGGCAGCGAGCCGGCGATGACAGGTGCGTTATCATTTTCGTCCAAAAGAGCTACCAGAGCTTGAGCGTATGTGGTCTTGGCCGGAGAACCCGCATCAGTCACAGATACCCGAAGTGTATAATTGGCCTGGCGCTCACGGTCCAGCAGCCCCGACGGCGCGGCCACTGTCAACGTACCGTGCCTTTCATCCAGGACAAACGGCCGCCCATCATCCGTCGAGCCTTCTGCGTGTAGCCTGTACGTCAGATTTCCGGACCAACGGTGCGTGCCGTGCGCTGTCAGTACGGCCACCACGGTTCCGGGTGCTGCATTCTCCATGACGGTCAGATTCTGATAACTGGCATCGAATTGGGGGGCGGGTCCCTCAATGGGGCAGGGTTGCACCCACACCGTGGAGGCCTGGCATGTCCTCTGAGCAAAACAAAAGGCCTCCCCAGCGCCGCAGCTTGCGGCGCACCCTGCCTCCTGGGTCGTGCTCAGTGGCACGCAGCGCCGCCGGCGAAAGCACCACGTGTGGGCTGTGGAGCAACGCGGTGGCAGCTCACACCGTGCGCCGGCAAAACCAGCCTCACACATGCACATGAAAGAGCCGCCAGCATTTTGGCACGTGGCGCCATTTTGACACGGAGCGGAGGCGCAATAATCAACGGCGAGCGTGCATCGAGGGCCGGAATAGCCTGCATCACAAGCACACGAGTAGTTGAGCACACCAGGCAGGCAGGTCCCGTGTGGGCCGCAGTCGTGTGCAATACAATCACCCGTAGAATCGCTGAGCAAAATAACACCCGAGGCCACACGCGATACGTCCACAAGCGAGGCGGTGCCGTTGTCGGCTGCACTCAAAATGACGCTAAACGGAGTGTCAACCTCTGGTATACCATCAGGCAGTGCCAGGAGAGCAAAGGTGTGATTGAATTCGCCCCGAGCAAAGTCCAGACCCCCACTTGTCGAGTTGAAGGTCGAGGCGTTGTTTGTGCCTGGCACGATGCTCCATGTGAGATGAATTGGCGCAACACCAATCTCACGAGCAACTTCGACCTCCATAATCATTCCTTCGCGCAAGCTGGGACTCGGACTAAGCGCGAGCGAGAAATTGCCACCGTAGGCGTCGCTTGGTGCAATGGCGAGCAGATAGGAAACAGTGCAAGCCCCAACGTTACAGTCTGGCCCTACGAGTTTCAAAGGAACATGTACAGAGATGTCAAGGTCAAGACCCGCACACCAAAGCTGGAACAAAGGCGAGCAGCGGTGTACACAAGAGGGGACGAAACATACGTGCTTGACCAAGGACACCGGGCACCTGTTGCTGCAGCGCTAGCACCAGCCGCTCCATTTCGGACACATCAAAATCCGCCTACCCGATACGTACGAATGCACCGGATCCGGGAAAAGAAAAGGTCCATGAGCACCAGACTGGCGGCCACATTCTGCTGCTACACGCGACAGGCAAAAGGCAAAAGGCATGTCTGCAAGACTGACCTCTGTTTGCGCTTGGGCGGAGACCGCTGCAATAGAACGATTGAGTGCGCTCTCCAGCCAAACGTTGGCCTCGGCAATTAAGTTGGCCTCACTTTCGCCTAACAAGGCATGGAAATGCCAGAAATATGCCACCAGATGAGTGCAACGCGTGAAACGAATTGATTTCAGGGGTCAGTTCGGATTGCGTGATTATGCCACTCAAAGCCTACCTGGCGAGACGGTCTCAAACACGCTACCTCCCTCTGGATTGAGGAGGGTCAAGAGAAACCACTCGAGGCCTTCGCCGACATGGTCGGCGACGACATCGAGCGCAAAGCTGTTCTCGCGCTGGCCGGGTGCAAAGCTGAGCCGGCCCGATGCGTTGTGTGAAGCAGCAAAGTCCTCGCCAACGCTTGCGGTCAATGAAGTGAGCGCGTAGGACACCGAGACGGCTCCTTCGGTACCCCCATGGCGTTCAATGACCAGGCGGGTGGTGCTGTCTTCAGACAGCGTGGCATTGAAGCCTGGGGCTAAGCGCAGCACACCAAAGGGATAATCATTTGCGCGGACGACAATATGGCGCGTGCTCACGCCCGCCATGCGACCAGAACTGGTTGCAACGAGCGTGACGGCCAATATCTCCACATCCTCGGGGTCATCATCGGCCGTTACCGCAATAGTGAGATCTGCAGAAGATTGGCCCGGTGCAAAAATCAGGCTGCCGGTGCTTGCAGCAACATCTCGCACGGCAAGGCTCCCATTGAGCCGCACCTCCCAGGAGAGGGTGACTGCTTCAAAGAGGCCGGCGCTGCGAAACACGGGAAACGTCACATTGATGGCACCCGAGTCGGGCTCCTCTACCGTTATTGAGGCATTGGTGCCAAATGCAAAAACGCCCGTGGGATCATCAGATGGGCTCACAAAGAGGTCCAGCGTGGACCTGGAGGCTGCCAATTGAGCACTGTTGTCCACTACAAGCCGCAGGGTCCCTGATTCGGCTGTTTCCGGGATGCCATCAGCCAAGATGGCAATGTGGACCACCTGCGTGGTCTCATTCACATCAAACGACACGGAAGTGCTGGGCCAAAAGCCCAGATCATTCAGAGCCAAGTTTCCGCCGGGGGCAAGCTGAAGGGTGGCCGTAACAGGTACCAACGCCCCTCCCTGACGATCAATGGCTACGCTGAGCGATTCACCCTCATTCACCACAGCAGTGGCCATGTTTAGACCAAAAGTTCCTCGAGCATCATCGTTTTCCAAGACAGTTATACGCAACGTGGCATACTGCGGGTCGATGCCCACCATTTGACCCGGTGTGTCAGCAGCCGCATGGTAGACGCGAATGATTTGCATGATAACCGTTTCGTTGAGCTCTGGCGTTGCGTCGTCGAGGATGACCACGCGAGCCAAGGCCGTCGCTTCGCCATCCACAAAGGTTACGTTGCGGCGCTCGGCCACAAAGTCATTGGCACTGGCGCCGGGTCCCGCGCGCGTTTCCACCTCCAACGTCACCAAGCCTTGGCGCCCCTGGCGTCGAACGATTGAAATTGAGCGCTCGTTTGCGACCTCCGAGACGGCCAGCCTAGTCGTCTCAAACCCAAATAGACCGTAGGGATAGTCATCTGCCAACAGTGTGACATTGGCGTGGTCCGAGGATAGCGCCGAGCTCATAACACCGGGCACCAGCTGCAAGCGATATAGCTTCGTAGGTTCAACCAGGTCATCATCTACTGCCAAGATGGCCAACCGTGCCTCCGCCTGTCCGTTCAAAAATGTGACAGTGCCCGAACTTGACGCAAAGTCTTGCTCAACAGCCGGCCCTGTCAAGGTCCAACTCAGGTTCTCAGTTCCCCATGCCGCCGGGTGTCGCGTAAGAACGAGGGCGCGATCCTCATCCTCCGTCATGACAATGCTCGTCGAGCTCAGAGCGATAGTACAATGAAAACAGGTGTGGATGGTGACGTTACTTTGTGAGATGTTGCCCAAAACGACGCCTCCGCCGCCCACAGTGAGTTCAAGCGCCACCAATGCCTCAGGCACCGAGGCGCTGGTGATTGCAGGAAGAGACAAGGTGAGCGAGGCCGTATCTGCCCCGTCCGCAAAGATGACCGTATGGCCATTGAGTGGAACAAACATGCCAGGATCTGCCGTGATGCCCCGAGTTGAGACCAGCACAGACACGGAACCCTCCCTACCAAACTCTCGCGTCAGGCCAATGGAGACGGCGTTGCCGAGTGGGCCTGACGCAACCGCAATGTCCGACCTCGCAAAAGACACGACGCCGTGTGGGTAGTCAGAGGCCGCCACGAGCAGCTCAGCCGTCACATCAGACCCCAATACAGCCCCGCCGCTCACGCTCACCAGCTGCAGGTGCCACTCTTGTGCCAGCTCGGGCACATCATCATCAGTGACCACCAGACTAATGACGGCTGAGGTACTACCGTGCGCCATATTGAGGCTGCCCTGACTCGGCTCAACTTGCAAAGACGCATTGGGGGAGGTAACGGCCCAAACGATTGATTGAGCGCCGTAGGAACCAGCAGTACGCACAACACTAAACTGCACAGAGTCGCCCTCGGTAGCTTGAAGACTGGGAGGGGCTAGGTTGAGGACGCCATTCGCATGCTCCGTTGTCACTGGCAATGCTGTGGCTACTGTGGATGCCCGTGGCGTGAACCCCGAGTCGCTGGGAAGTGCTGCAACACCCGAGGCTCGAGCAACCCCGGAAATTTGCACGCAAAGCGTTTCACCCACGAAGAGCACCAGGGCAACCGGCAACTGCCATATCAGCGAGGCACTGGTGCTGCCAGCATCAAAGTGCAGGGCCGTGCTGTTGAGGTGTGTGCTTGCATTGGTATTGGCCGCCGTGCTTTGACAAGGACCAGTGTAAAGAACAAGCTGGACATCCTGGCCCTCGACTGCACCGCCTGCACGAGTCACAGACGCTGACACGTCACGCTGCCCATCGCGCAATATGAGCATCGCAGTGTCGAGCGTAAAATAACCAAACACGTCATTGGAGGGCAGAATTTCCACCCAAGCCCCCAAGGCGTTCGAGTCGGCGTCCAAGACAGCCCCTCCCTGCGGGTTGGAAAGAAGGATGGCAAAAGCTTCCCCAAGCTCGGGGACGTCATCGGCGAGGACGTTGATGGAGAGCGTACCATACTGTTGCCCATCAACAAAAGGAACGCGACCGGCGGCAAAGCGCACGTCGGCCTCGGTAATCGTGGCGTTGCTGGTGATATGCCAATCAACGGTCACCGCACCAAACAATCCGCGCTGGCGCTCGAGTGTCACGTTGACAAGAGTACCCTCCAGCCCCACCACGACTTTGCTGGCGGGCCAGACACGCACCACACCACGATAGCCGTCGTTGGGAGCCACGCGCAGCGTCAAGGCCGCACTGTCGTCTTCAGGCGTCAGGGGCAGTAGAGTCACCGTCAGGTTTTCCTCCAACTCTGGAATTCCATCGGCTAGCACAGTCAAGCGCAGTGTGTCGTACGATTCGCCCTCGCTAAACACAATGCTGCCACGAGTGGGGTTCACGTCACCAATGGCTTCGCTGCCATCGGAACGCTGCACGATGAAGTTGAGCTCCGCTCGCGCCGTGAGATTTCCACTACGCAGGATGCGCAAATCGTGCGTCTCCCCCTCCTCGACCGCCAACGAGGGGGCAACGGCTTCAAAGTCGAAGATGCCAAACGGATGGTCGGAGAGACTGATTTCAAGGGTAGCCACAGCCCGGGCACCCAGGACGGCGCCACCACAGACGGCAGTCAAATTGATAAACAGGGCTTCGGCAAACTCGGGCTCCGTGTCGTCGATGACTGTCAGGGTAAGTGCCTGAGAAAAGTCATCGGTTTCGAATCTGAGCGTCCCCGCGACCGGCTGTACATCTGACCCTGCACGAGCCGAGCTTGAAGACAAGGCCCAATCCACGACAATGGTGCCCTTGCGACCGCCTAGGCGATTGACGTAAAAGACCACCTCACTCCCCTCGTCGCCCACCAAGAGCTCCGAGGATGCGCTGAACTCAAAGCGGCCGTATGGATCGTCGCTCTTGCTCACAACGACCGGCAAGCTGCTGTGGTTCACGGCCAGGCTTAAGCCGCCCGTGGGTGTGGACAGCTGCAAGAACCCTTGCTGCTCTTCTTCGGGCAGCAAGTCGGCTGCTAGCATGAGAGCCAGTCGCGCGCTTTCAACGTTTTCCGCAAAGTCCAGCTGACCACCAGAGGGTGAGAGCTGCGAAAGATTGCCGACCAATTGCCACATGACGGTGCCGTTCCCAAAACTGCCTTGGCGTCTAAAGATAGACACGTTGATCACCGCCAAACCGGTTGCCGGCTCAGCCAAGATCAATTTGGGAAAAAGAGCTTCATCGATCGTGGCCACGCCGAATGGGGCGTCACTTCCACTGATGGTCATGTTGAGGGTGTCGCCAGCTGGGTCAACTACACCTGGGTTTGCGACGTCGGCGTCGGCCAACACTTCTATGACCAAGACAAAATCTTCGTCGAGCTCAGGGAGGTCATCATCAAAGGCTGTTACCCAAATAACAGCCTCGGTTTGCTGGCTGGTAAAGGTGACGGTGCCGTTAGCGACAACGAAATCGCTGCTCGCCAAGATCCCAGAGGGCACGCTGATGAGGCGATACGCCAGCGTGACCGTGCCAAAGAGGCCCCGCGTGCGAGATACGGTCACGGCAGTTGCGCCCTCGCCCTCCACCAGACGCACAATCGAGGTCCCATCGGTGTTGGTGTTGAGAGCGAAGCGACCACGAGCATCGTCGTTCATTGGCACAGTTACGTTGCAGACGGCGCGGGACGCATTAATGGCAAGCAAATCCGCACCCACCACGACCCAGGCGCCACCACGCCAAAGTTCGGTGCTTGCAATAGCTATGGGCACAATCTCTTCAAGTTCAGGCAGTCCATCTGCGACGACACTCAAGTGCAAGGTGGTGGCTACCTGGCCCGGGTCCAAAAGGACGCTGGCATTGCTGAGGATCACATCGGCTCTGTGTGCGGTAGCCACACTCACATTGACGCGAATATGACCAAGAGAGCTGCCCGAGCGGTCAACGCCCAAGTCGAGCGTCATCCCTTCGGCAACGGTAGTCGCCAAGGTGGCTAGGCCCACGGTACCATAGGCCAGGTCACTGGCAGCCACAGTGAAGTTTTCAGCAGGGCCGGGAGCCTCGTCGCCATCGGCGGCGAAGATGATGGCGTACGCGTGCTCATCCTCCGGCTCAATGTCGGGTACTACAACGAGCGGAATGGGCTCGGACTGCACCTGCCCGTGCTCAAGCGATACTTGGCCGCTGGACAGGGCAAACTGCAGTGCCGGTGTGGCACTGGCAGGGCCGGCACTCTGTAAAACGATTGACCAGTTGACCAACGCAAGACCGTGGGCGTCGGGGCCCCGGACAAAGGAGAGCGCGACAGCGCCGCCCTCTTCAACGTGGGTTTGATTCAGAGAAGCGTTGATCGTGCAGTGAAAGCAAGAGACAATTTCCACAAGGGTGGATGAATTGGCACCGATACGCGCGCCCACCACTGGCGGTGCCAGCGCTAAGGTCAGGACTCGACGGGGCACGGGCGTCGCGGGGGTGGGAATGCCAATGATAAAAGAGGCATTGCTTTTGCCATTGCGCAGTGTTAATCCTGAGGCGTTGTTGAATGTGTAGTCGATACCATGCGTCGCCGTGCCATCAAAGCTCAACAGCGTAACGGACACATCCTCAAAGAGGCCCTGCAATCGCTCCACGCCCACGCGCAGCTCAGAGGCGCGAGACGGTTGCACCACAGCCAAAGGAGCGGCCATTGCTAAAACGCCACGCGCATCATCATTCTCAGAGACGATGATGCGCTTGGTGGCCGTATCCAAGACAGCCACGCCCTCGATCAGAGCCTGCAAGCCAATGAGAAAGGATTCCTGAAGTTCGGGGACATCATCTGCAGCCACGTAAAAGCGCGCCTGCTCAAGATCGTCGGTGCCTTGGAAGGTTAAATTGATTGCAAGAGGATAAATGTCTTCACCCGGCTTGGCATTGACGCTGTTGCTGTCCGCTGAACTCACTTGGAGCGCAACGACGACTGATCCATAGGTGCCGTCCACGCGCCTGACGGTGACATCAACGGCCGTGTCGGCTGGACCTTCGGTCACACGAACAAAGTTTGTGTTTTGAATATAAAGACGGCCATTGGCCACCGCAGCTGAGGGCGCCACGCGCACCACGGTGGGACTAGCGGAGGGGCTGATGCCATCAGCGCTTACAACCACGTCGCCACCCTGCAAGCGATGAACCGATGTGATGATCAAGCAGTATCGATGCTCCATCGCCAAAATCCGATCCTCGGGCACGGGAACATGGACGGTGGTGCGAGCGGCCCCGGCTGGCATGAGCACCTGGATGGTAGAAGCCAACAAGGTTTGTGCTGAGCACGTGCTGGCTGCCGAGAGGGCTCGGCGAATCTCAACGTGCGCCACTACGTCCTCCAGGGTGCCGTTGGCTCGGTTCAGATCGATTTGCAGAAAGCGCGTGCCATTGGCCGTGTCAAACTGACTCGTCGTCGCGGGAGCCACAGTACCGTAAGGATCGTCCGAGGCGTTGACGACAAGCCAAGCTGTATTTGTAGCGACCTTGATGGTACCACCGCCCAAAACGTCGGTAAGCTTGAGTTGGTATGTAGCTGCAGCCTCAGGCAAAGCATCGTCGAGGAGCTCAAGACCCAAGCTCGCCCAGGTTTGGCCGTCCCCAAAGACGACAAACCCCGCTGCCTGAGCAAATTGCCCGGTGCCGTTGATAATTTCCCAGCTCAACACCTGCGTGCCGATTGTGCCGCCGTGGCGAGTGATATTGACGCTCGCCGCGGCATGAGCCGACTCGTCCAAGCGCACGCCTGACTGGGCAGCGGTTGCCCAAGCAAAGCGCCCGTATGGATCGTCGCTTGCGTTGATGGTGAGCAGCAACTGACGCGAGGCATCAGGCACAATCGCCGTGGAAGAAGAATAGGACACAACGGTCACAACAAGGGCCTCGGCAAGCTCGGGCAGGGAATCATTCAGAGCATGAATGGTGATGGGCCATGCCGCGCTCGTGGCTCCAGCTGCAATGGTCAAAATGGGGGAACTCACGTTGTAGTCAAGGTCCACTACAGGCGAGAGTCCGAAAGGAGCAAGAGCAGCAAACGTGAGATGTTCAACCTCAGTCTTCGGAAAGACGCTTCTGAGAACAATCGCAGGCAACGTAGCAAGGCAATGCTGTTTAATAGAGGAGGCAAGGCTGAAAGGACGTACCGAGCGCCGTGGGACTGGCAACGCGAAGTGCGAGGGAAATGCTAGCCGGTGCAGGTGTGGGCACTGTGGCGGTGAGGGTGAGGCTGCTGCCCGAGGGGTCCTCAGCGAGACTGACGGTTGAAGGTACAAGAGACACTGGCAAACGATTGAGCCCTGGAGCATGAAGCACAAGACAAATTGCGATGAGGTGTGACCGGGCAGCAGGAAGCAGCGGATACGGACAATGCTTAAAGCGAGACCTGTGCAAGCTGGACTGGCCGTTGCGACATCAAAGAGAGTGTCGAACGACCCCGTGGCGCCATAGTCAAGATGAAGGCCAGCTTCGCCCAAAGAGGTGCAGCGCACAAACACAGGGGTCAAGAGATATTCAGCCTGATCAGATGCCGCGAAGAGAGAAGGCGATGGGTGAGGATACCGTAGATACATCGGGGCAGACTTGCTTCGCCGTCATTCATGGGCAGCTTGGCGATCACCGGTTTGGCCCCTCACGATGGCACGGCAAAACAAGTGGGAAGCTTGTACCTCGGGTATGGCCAGGGAGCTGGAGGATCCACTTTGCCAGAAGGAGACGGGCAAGTTTGAGCTGCCAGCAAGAGGAGAGGAGCAAACACTATCCTCGAAGAATTCGCACCCCAGGTCATCGCTGGACCGCCACGCCAAAGACCATGTTTGGTTGGTTTGAACAAAAAGCGAGGCACAAGTATTGGGTTGCAACGACGGCGTGGCGCAATTTCCACCGACGCCGTCGTACTCGGGGCCAAACACGAGAAGTTGAGCTGAGATTGGACTGAAGATGGCCGAGAGGACTGGGTGAACCGAGGAGAATCACGGTGGTCACAAGGAAGCAAGAACGCAGGTCAGCCAAAAGATGAGGTGATGTGATGCAGCATGACGTTGGTGGGAAAGCCTCGGCCGCCGTGAGTAAAGATGAGATACCAAAGCCGAATGCACTGACCGAACAGGGGCATCAATAGAGCCACGAGATTATGGCGAGTCAAAGCAAGCGCCATCGCATCCGCTTCGGGGGTCAGAAAAATAAAAAGTTGTCCAAAGAAGAAGCGGGGTGCCGAGCTATGAGGAAAGCCCCTCGTGTCTCACGCAGCACGCTATATTTGCTACACGCGTTAAATAGAAGAGACGAGGGTCAGAATGGGGGCCGCTCGCCCGATGCCGAATTGATGACGGGGGGCGGCCTCCCGCCCTTTGCGCAGTTTCCGGAAGTAAAGGGTCGAGCCAAGGAGAAAAGGTCGGACACGCGATCAGATGGATGCAGCTCTGCGAACACCAATGCAAGCCTGTCCTGAGCGGCGGCGAAGAATACGGGCACCAGGACAGCACTCTTGGTCTACAAATGAAGCAGCCCTGCCTCGGTCACACAACACCAAGATCGCCCGCCATTAGGTTGAAATGAAAGCCTCACTCGACGTTTCTTTTGTTTCTGTGTGTGTGTGTGTGTTGTTTACCCACCACCCCAACAACAGAAGCACCGTCAGGCTCGCTTTTCAGCTTGGTGCGCCAGATGTGCATGCATGCGTGCATCACATCAATCTGACAACCAGTCTTCCAGTCTCCTCAAAGACCTCTCT